AATGGCTCAAAGCCCTGTCAATTCCACTGTATAGACTAAATACTGGCTCAAAGATACTTTCCAAAGCTGAATCCTTATAAGTTGATTGGTTTAAGCCTTGGTAAGATCCCTTTGCGAAATTATACTTTCGACATTTATTCATGGGGGGGGAGAGTACCGGTACATTTCGTCTGAGCTGTTTCTCCGCCCTGTCCCCGTTATACTCGAACTCTGGATAGATTAATCTTCTTCGTATTAATCAAACGGGTTTTGGAGCAGATCAGAGTATCGAAAGAATGCCTAATTGAATCTGAAGGCAAATACCGTGCGAGGTATAAACTGATTTAAATGAATCCAGGCAAGTGGCACGCCGTGCGCGGTAGAAACGGACAACGGCGGGAAGTGGCCGATTGGCACGAAATGATGATTACATATAAGTATCAGAATCTTCAGTTTCGAGCAGCCAAATTGCTCGCTTCCGTATTACAACGCTGGATTCTGCTCGCCGAGTCATCCTGTTTCTCGATTTGCGAAGCAGTATCTTGCTGGGCCCACCGCGCACGGCTTGCCATGGACTCGTTTAAAGCAAACTTCTTACTTCGTCGCAGACGAAACAAATCTGCATTTACCGGTACTGCAAAGGGGTCTAAAAATAGGCATGTTCTATAAATACTTTTTAAAAGTATATTTGTTTCAGTGAAGACGAAGGTACTATTACCACGGTACAGGCCTAAGTATTACCCCTCGAGGGTGCCTCAAAAGTCTAGTTTCCACTTTAAAACCCCTGGTTAGCCTACCCTCGAGGGGTAATACTTACGCCTGCGACGTAGTACTACGTACGTCCCAGGCGTAAGTACGCAATACGTACTAGTAGTATTCCTTACCCCTCGAGGGTCGGGTAACCAATGGGGTTTAAAGTGGAAAGTAGAATTTTGAGGCACCCTCGAGGGGTAATACTACGTACTACCGGTAATACTACGTACGTAGTACTTCGTACTGTTTAGGCCTGTACCGTGGGTAATTGGGTGCCGCCCAGAGCTTTTTGAGGCCTCGACCGAGCGGTGTTGTGGTGGCCTGAGGCTACCAGGCCTCTTAAGCCCACGTGCGCGCTAGGGGAGTACATGGACTTCTCCCACCAAGGAGAACTTACAAGTAGAAATATCATCCTTTCCACATACAGCTGAACGACTCGTATCAAAGGTGAGAAGGTCGATCGATGTATACTGTCACGTGTCCTGGCCCCACGACACACACAAGCTGTCCCCCGCGATTCAAGGGTGCACGTGTCACCAAGGCAGTGCATGGACCTGGGGGCTTGTCACTGGTACCGGTACCTATGCCGGTACTACAAGTTCTAGAAACTACAAGTTCTAGAAACTTCTAGAACTTTCTTCCTCCTATGACCTAGTGTTATTACCCAGTATATCTACAAACACGTACGTCACTTGGAGAATCGATTTGTCGATATCATGTTTTCATTTATCAATGAGAGACCTAGTTTCCATCCCCTAACCTCTTTCCCTCCTTCCGAAAAGCATTGAGTTCAACTCTGTTGTCAAAGAAAATAAAAAGAGCAGTCCAACTGCCCAATACCGGTAGATCTCAGCTCTAGAGTAGAGTCCAACCCACAACCCGTTCCGTCGCCAATCCCATGCCTACCGGCATCATAGCCCCGCAATGGGCAAAGCGAGCGAGCGAGCGAGGCTTTTATTGTAGCTAGTTCCAGCCGCAAGGAACTACGAGGATCGCGCCAGCTTGGGGATTGGAGCTCGTAGTAGGGTTTTTTTGCTGCAAAGTATTGGCATCTGTGCAGAAATCTCCCGCAATATTTGCCAAATCGTCGCCTGCGACGACCGTATAGTAGCCATTTCCCTCGCTATCGCCCTGGATCCTAGAGCAATCGCGCTTTCGAGTTTTGCAAGGAACTGAGAGAAAGGCTCCTGTTTCAAAAGAAGTGGCATGGTTCATAACTTTCAACTCTCCTGCAGAGCTGCAAAAGTCAGCCGCGATATTTTCCCAAGTGTCGGATGTTGTAATTGTATAAAAGCCGGTGCCTGCGGGTTTGCCACTAGCATTGGGCCTGCAGCTTCGACGGAAAGCGGTTGCGACGCCGAGGAAAGAGGCGAGCAAGAAGAGGCTGTTATTGAAACGCATGGTAGAGTTGGTAGATAAAAGTAATCGTTTGAACGAGTTGAGCTTATAAGAAGATGGTTGAGTAGTACAATGAAGTAGTACAGTGATGGAGGAATTGCTCATATTATATAGTAGTGACTGCGAGATGGCTCGGCAATATCGCATATATTCTTTTGATCGCTACGTAATATGAAAAATACGAGCAGTACGTAATTGTCGGCTCGCTTAAGTCGGCCTCCTGGTGTATATCCTTTCGTATCGGAAGTATAATTTCGCAAGAGATCTTACCAGGGCTTAAACCAATCAATTTATTAGGGTTCAGCTTTGAAAAGCATTTTTGAGCCAGTATTTAGTCTATACAATGGAGTTGACAGGGCTTTGGGCCATTAAGAAACCACCGCTCCATGATTTATGGGCCTAAACTGGGTCCGACATGTATCGTAGTACTACGTAGTATCCATGGGGAGGAGAGTGAAGGATATACGGTACGTAGTATAGTAAATAGACTTTTAGACTCTTATAAGGGGCCGGTGTACGTAATATACGTAGTACGTAGTATGTAGTTTTTGTTTCACTTGGCCCTCCCTGAATCGAAAGTCATTCTAAATATATCTATAGTAAAATTTTGCCATTTACGCTCAGCTAACCATAGCTAGTATATCCTAGAATCACTGGTACATGCAGTAAGGAAAAAATAATTGCTCTTCGTAAGGCTGGCCTGGCTAATCTCTTAACATCCATTCATATCTATGCACGTCGGCAATACATCGTTACAGGAACTTCCGTTCCGGATTGCTATTAGGTAGGGTTTAACAGAGCGGAAGACGTGAACGCACATACCACGGTATAGGCGCAATTGTTACACTCTTGAGGGTGCTTCAAAAGATTAGTTTCCACCTGAAAGCCCCTGGTTACCCTATCCTCAAGGGTGTAACAGTTACGCCTGTACCGTGGTACTACGTGGTAGTACGTTGTACGAAGGTTCTCTCCATCCCCTCACCGAAAGCAAAAACAACGGTTAAAAAATACGAAGTACCGGTATACGATGATCCTCCGTACCGTACAACTAGGTTGTCGGACCCAGTTTAGCTTTACAAATCGTACTTAAAGCGGTGGTTTCTGAATGGCTCAGAGCCCTGTCGATTCTATTGCTCAGACTAAATATAGTACTGTTCCATTCGTACTGTAAAGCAGGAGAGAAACAGCTTTCTCGGCAGTAACTTCGTCGTCGTTGAATCGCCGACTATCGACTCTGTAGGGTACGGACAACCGATTATATGATGGCCCCGGCACCGATTCGAGTCACGTTCTGCAAGCTTGGCGATGACAGGCCATCTGTGTGTGGCATTCTCTATCCATTCCTCCCCAGCGGCAGTCTTGCTGATCACATAGAGAAGAAGAACGAGCTCGGTGAGCAGCGAGTTTGAGTACCTACTCGCGAATCTGGCCTGCGCGAGCTTCTTGCTTTATGAGATTTGGTTGTATTAGTAGGAGTTGACCTCGCAATACAATAGGGTCTCGAAATCTATGGTTGCAGCCTCCTTTGCGACCATTACTTCTTGGTAATTGTCAAGAGATGTTTCTGATGCCCATTCTTATGGCCAGTCTTGCAGGCGACCTGGCATTTCTCTGGGATAAGAGCGCGGAGGGTGGTTTCTGTCAAGTAAAATCAGAACTCATTGTTACCACGGAAATTCTCTGCTGATTAGTCGGCAATCGAGGCCGGACTTCGTATACTCGAGTCCTGTGTAGAGGCGAAGTCGGCATCCGAAATAAAGGCCAGTGCAGATAATCCCGGGTGTTTAAATGCAACCTCCGTTGCGAGCGCAGATCGGCCGGTCTACAGTCCTTCCACTTCCAAGACAAATGACCCTCTGGACTATGCTCTCTCTACCGACCTCCAAAGCCAGCTCGTCTCTGTACTCAGAACTGCCAGGACATCCTCTGAGAAGGCTATACCTCTCGTCAAAAATATCCTCGAAAATGGCCATCCTATATTTCGAAAAATTCTGTAAGAAAGCCAGCCGCAAGACATTATCAGCGAAGCAAGATCTCGCATTTGAATGCACTATAGCGAACGATTGATCCCGTGCGGCTATACAAAGAATGCTTCCTATACGATAGAAAAAGATTATTCATGCAAAGAATTCAAGTAGAAAGAGGGTGATGCAATACTGGTTGAAGGATTAGTATTATCAGTTTTCATGCAGGCCTCGCTTTTATCCCTGCAAGAAGAAACAAAAACAAAATGCATCCACGATGAAACATGAACTAGTGAAGCGGGAGAGAACGGAAATCTAGTTACAATTTCATATCATAAGTAATTCTCTTTAAAGTTCGATATATGTGAAATGTAGTTATGCTAATTATACATATCCTGTGGAAGGTTGTTCTATGCGTGTCGGTTAAAAACGAGCTGGATTTTCTCGATCTTCTTTGCTTTTCCTCACTTTTCTTTTGCATATTTCTTACCTGTGGTCTATTTATCTTCCTTTCTGGCTACCCTTCTCCTTTCCTTCTAGGCGAACGAAGACCGGCTGCTGAGCGCGCATATCATTGATTTATCATGCAGACGACTTGGAGCCAGATAAATGAATGGCTATACTAGTTATTCACAGCGTAGCATGAAAGAAAACCAGGTACTCCGAGAGACGTTCATATTCTTGAATTTTTTCAAGATTGATTATTAGTTCAACGCATTTTGCTACTATTAGCTCCAGCTCCAACTTCGCCTAAATACAGGACTTCTGCGGCATACACCAGTCTCTATCTACGAAAAGACCTTGAACTCAACCAACCTGACTTTCTGTCCCGGCTTTGGCGTGAATACCAACCTGATCATCTTCGTCTCCGCCTCCGCCCACAGGGCATCTGTGATTCCATTCGCAACAGCATCGCTGTACTTCGCACCGCTCACGTCCACCCATTTCTCACCGGAATGAGCCTGTACCCGGTAGCTTTCCGGCACGTCGAAGCCCGCTGCCGCAGCGGAATCCTGATAGAATGCAATTTCGGCCCGCGACGTGCGGGTGGCGGCCTCGAACTCGATCTGGAGCCACATCTCCTCACCCGCGCCCGCGGGGGTGTCCCAGCCGTGAGGCTTCTCCGGGAAGAACCAGACGCGACCGTCGATGGCGGAGTGCACCTTCGCAGCGTCTTGTTCGGCCTCTGACACGTTGACGCGGGGCCACGGCGTGGAGGCTTGCAGCTGGACCGAGACGGGGATCGGGCTTTTGAACTCGGGGGGAGGGGCTTGGCGGGCGACGTCTTTGACGATGAGGCGGTCTGCTTTTGCGGAAGAGGCGCGCACCTGTCCGTCGACTTCGACGATCAGGCCCTGGCGTCCGTACTGGCTCCCGTCGGCATCCCACTGGACGGCGACGTCGTGTCCGTGGTACAGGATGCGCTCGGCCCGGAAGTACTTGATGGTGTCGTCGATGGTGGGGTGGACTTCGAGCGTGTCGTCGGCGCGGGGACGGATGCCTACCAGGCCGGAGAGGATCAGGTCGACAAAGCTGGAGTGGAAGTAGTGCGGCGAGCGAGCGAGGCCCACGATCGGAGAGCCCGTGTCGGGGTAGTAGTCCTCTTCGATGTCGAGAATGTTGTCACGGTTCGGGTTGTAGTGCAGCTGGGCATACTGTGTCAGGATCCGGACGTAGTCGGCCCTCGAGACGGCGCCGCTGGAAGATGGGTAGTGATCCAGGAGGTTGCTGAGCGCACCAAGCACCTGTGCGGTCTGGTAGGGCCAGGCCGGGCCGTTCCATTGACACTCGGGGTGCGTGCCTTCGTAGCGATACTGTCGCATGTAGAATTCGTAGCTGGGCTCGTTGGTGCGGAGTCCCTTCTCGCCTTGGAAGCCCGAGGTGTTCGTGAGATGGCTCCAGCTCTTGCCGTACTGTGCCTCGTCATCCGGGAGGTTGTGGAGCCAGGGAACATATCCCGCGAGCTCACGGCCACGGATCGGGTCCCAGTACTTGACATGGTCGTTGCTGACATGGTAGCGGTCGATGAAGTGCTCCAGGGTCGAGCTCCACAGAGATTCCTGGACGCCTGCCTTGAGAGCCGTAGCCCGGGAACGGAACGCGCTGGCGAGGGCTGCGTCGCCTTGCAGTTCTGCAATGTTGGCGATCGCCAGGGCGTTCGCGTACTGGTATGAGTTGATCGTGGGACGGAATGCCTCGCCGCCGCGGAAGCCGTCCTTGCCCCCGGACGCGTCAATGCTCGCGATGGTATACTCCGTGGCGTCGGTCAGGGGCTGGATCCAGTAGAGACCCTTCGCGGTGTCAAACCTTCCAAAGGTGAAACTCCCATTCCACGCAGCGTAAACGGCTTGCATCTCGTCCAAGAGGGGAGTGGCATCGTCCGCAATACCATCCACGAGGTATGACTGCCAGACCGAGTCGGCCATGACCTCGGAGAACTGATGTTTGTTGCTGTCCGAGCTGAGGATGAAGTTGGCATATTCGCGCTTGAAGCGGAGATCCCGACACCAGCGGCCCTCTCTCAGGTGAAATCCCGTCGCATCGTTCAGGGAAGCCCATGGGTTGGTCTGCCAGCCGACGTTGTCGAGGAACTCGGTCGAGATGAAACCCTTTGGGCCGAGATCACGCTGATGCGCGCGGAAGAGGTTCCATCGGTAATAGTAGACGTCGTCGATGATGGAAGAGCTGGACTCGAACAGCGGGATGCGATCTTGGAACCAGGCGAAATCGTTGCCAAAGTGCTTCTTGATCAAAACATCTGCGTCGAGGGATCCCAGGGCGAGACTAACATAACTGATGTGGAAGAGAAATAGGGACCTCATGGTCTTTGGCGAGATAGTAAACGAAAGGAGTTACCTAGTTGAGGTACCGGTAGAGGGATGCTTTTTGACTGGCATGTCAGAGCCCGGGACATTGATCACTTCATATGCCCCCATAGTATTCCAAATTTCTATGACGCCAATGCCCTGTATCATCATGTATTACATTATATTATTAGATGGATTTCGGCGCCGAGTTATTATATGGAGTTAGTGTGGGAATAGGTATGGACTGCGCCCGGAGTAGGCACATGGAGGACTTGAAGACTAAAGATAGACCGCAGGATGGCCCGCGCACTAGCCCGGCTTAGACGTTAGCACTACTACCGGTACCTACTACTACCTACAACTACACCTACCACACTCCACATACTTAAAATAGCATCCCTCTTCGGTCTTACGAACACACATCACCTAGGGATGTGATATCAACCGTAAGAGTCCTACTTTGGAACTCAGTGCCACAGCTAAGAGTCTAATACCGCAAGGTGGACGGGTTTCAAGAGTCGATGATCACTGAGCTTAAAGGCAGGTACTATTTAGGTACGTAGGTGTTTAGGCATTTTCAACAGTGCTCTGACCTTTTTTTTTCCTTTTTTTTTTTTCCGAAAGAGACGATCATTACACCATAGCCTCCAACACTAGGAATAGTTTACCGAGTAATCCGTTTCGGTCCGTTCCGTTGAAAGAAACCCGTCCCAAGAGCCGTCCTAACGCTGCGCTGATGTAGGTAATAGAGACCTAGATGTTACAATCCAACATCGATGAATTACCGCAATCAGTTTATAACCCGTTTCAGTCAAGTAGAATAGCACTTTTAGATCGATTGAATTCTTAGAGCTATCCCGCTACCCCGCCAGTTATGAATACTGCATTGTTGGCAGTAAATTATACGCGCACCAATCAAAACATTCGCGCACCAATCAAAACATCCCGTTTCCCTACCCAAGAGAAACGGGTAACCGCTCCAATAGAGAATACGGAAATGCGTTTGGGATACGATCTCCGGCGGGAAGGATTTGTTTTGAATGTATTTTAGGATACGAGGTATAATAGTATTTTCTTACATTTTCGGCTGTTGCGGTTGCCGAGCCGATGCCAATCAGCGTCTTTACGAGATGCGTTTTTCGTCTCTTGTCCGTATTTTCTATCCTATTAAGCTTTTATGGATCTACGGTGTAGAACTTTCAGATGCACTCTAAGTTCGGTATTAGTTCATAGTAAAGTATGCATGAAAGCAACATCGATTACTAGTCAGATATTCAAGAGAGGTCTTGAACTAAATAAGTACGTTGACGTAAATGGCAGGCAGCTTACGTAATCGCAAAGCGAGCTTGGAAATGCTTTGACTTGCGTACGTATAATGCAAATCTTTGCTCCTTTCTTCTCCTCCTCCCTCTTCTCTCTCTCCTATCCTCTCGATTCTATTCCTAGTCTTGAATTTGAAGTGCACGCCCTAGTCTTTGCAGATGTGGCATTTGTTGCATTCTTGCTCAACCGTACCGTCCAAAGCAATTCGAGTGATGCGGGCGGTTTTCGAAAGCATGGCTTCTACCACTTGAAAGTCGCAAGAAGTACCTAGCAAAAGGGAAAGTACTCCAAAGGCCGTTCATAATATATCTATATTCAATTCATCAATTGATATTCGAGGTATAATAATTAACGCGATTAATAGTAAGGTTGCAACGCGGAATTGTGACCCGGAACGTACGAATTCAGTAGTACATAGTATGTGCGCTGGTATGTATTAGCAAGTGGAGGCGAAGCCGAAGCGAAACATGCCGGTTAGAATTAGAATTAGAATTAGAATTAGAATTAGAATTAGAATTATTTAAACTTAAGGGGGACTGTAACTTGGAGAGAGTAGGTACTCGTGCTGGCAGTAAGTACGTAGTATGCTTCCATGCGTTGATCTTTTTGAACTGGGGAAAGGAGTCGCAACGCCCTGTACGGAGTATAGCTGGCCACGCCTAAATTTAGTAAATTTGACTCTATATTTGGGATGATACTTTAAGTAGCGAGTTAGAGCTAAGGCTTTGGGTGTCACGACTGGGTCTACGTAATACTATCCCCTCTCCCCTCCATCCCCCTCACTTGAATAAGAGACGAGAAGTATGTTTTTACTAGGGCTTGACTAGGGGGTTGTAACCCTAACGCTTGGGAAGTAGTTCCTTTAGAATTCATTATTTCTTTGTACTATAGTTCGTAGTAAAGTCGATATCAAGCAATGATTCATGCATAAAAAGCACTTAGAAAATACTCAAAAATCAATATATGCGTTAATTTGCCACATCTACGTAGTAATAAGCGGTCAGCTTTACGATCAAAATATGCTTACACCAGGTGGGTCCATCGTAGTAATACAGTACCGGTAGTAGTAGTACCGGTAGTAGTAGTACCGGTAGTGGTACTTCGGTAGTATTTATTATTTCAACGTCAATTGCGGGTCCTAAGAATCCGACTTAAGAGTATTTCGACGTGCCGGCACTAGGTACAGTAAATGGGCTTGCCAATGCCCAATGCCCAATGCCACACCCAACCCTATACCATGTACCACATAAAACATCGAAATCTACCACTGTTCGCTCCGCAATGGTGGTAGCACTGCAATCCGATTTCTTTACACTCTACACCCCATCATCCATCGAATGTTAATATCTGTTTTAAAACCGTTTCGGTATTACTAGATCACTCACCTACGGCGCAGCAGTCCGCATCTGCATCTGCACGACACCAGCACCACACCAGCCGCAGGCCGCAGGGAAGGGGACCAGTACAGTAGTAAGCATAAAACTAAAGAAAGGGTTCGTGGGTGCTGCGTTAAGTTTTCACTATCCTGATTGGGTTGGCTGGTTTCTGTACTCTCCCTAAGTATGAATACATGTCGAAAGTACTACGTATAATTTTGCAAGGGATCTTACCAGGTCTTGAACCGATCAACTTACGCAGTATAAGGATTTATTCAGCCTTGAAAAGTATCTTTGAGCCAGTACTTTATCTATGCAATGGAGTTGGCAGGGCTTTAAGCCATTCAGAAATCACCGCTCTACGATTTTTAGAGCTAAACTGGGTCCGACATTTATTCATTGGGGGGGAGGTAGTATCACCCTCCCCAAAACCCAGATATGCAGCTATTCAATGTTATTTCTGATGCAGCCATTCAACGTAGTTTGGACGCAGCCATTGAATATGATTTTGCGGCTTCTACAGTGTACAGGTTCGTTCGGGTCATAGATTTAGCTTACTATATATCAATCAGGCTTCTCCCTGTTCTACTTTCTTGAGCATTCCAAGATTGATTCATCTTTGAGCTTTGAGTTTACCGAGAACTCTAGTGTATAGATATTACAGAAAACTACTTCCCACAGTCCCGCTCTTCACGCTCATCTGTACCACGATCGATCGTTTGATACTAGGCGAGCCGCATGATTGACATAGAGCCGAAGCCAAGATGGGAGACCGCACGCTCGAGCACCCCGAGCAAGAGGCTCATCGTGTGCTGCGATGGGACGTGGAATGCCGGGGATGACGGACAGTCGCTTACCAACGTTGCTAAAATCTCACGTTGCATTGCGGATGTCGACGACTGGAATGGGATGAAGGACGTGGTACAGATCGTATACTACGTGCGCGGCGTGGGAACCGGAACGTGGAAGAACGCCAACGTATAGGGTGGGATGTTTGGGAAAGGTAATAAGCCTCCCTCGCTCGCGATATGTATTTGTACCACAGGTTCGACCTCGCGACTGACTTATAGCGAGAGCGGCACAGGAATCGGAAAGTCCATCCGAGCAGCTTACACCTTCATCTGCACGAACAGGTCCAACCAGCACGACGAGATTGTGCTCATCGGATTCTCACAAGGTGCCTTCGCCGCGAGATGCGTCGCCCAATTCGTCCAAGACGTCGGCCTCCTGACCAAAAGCGGTCTGCGGCATCTCCGCGAACTCTTCAAGATCTGGAAACATCTCGGACCTGCGGATGACAGGTCGGTATTGGAAAAGATGCGCGAGAAGCTCCAGAATTACGAGGAGCTAGTCCCAGACGTCAAGATCCGGGCCTGTGCCATGTGGGATACTGTCTCTGCAATTGGAGCCGCAGAGATTCCCGTGCTAAAGCATCTCCCAAAGCATTTCCCAAAGGGGTGAGCCCCTGCTCAACGATACCGTATGAATAATAGGACGACACCGGCGAATGTCAAGCTTGCAGTTCAGGCCCTTGCTCTTGGGTAGCAGCGAAAGCTGTTCGTTTCCTTCAATCGAACCCTCCCGCAGAGTCTACTGGACAAGTCTTGATCTAGAAATAGTTCGCTGGAAACCACAGTGGTGTTAGGAGCGGCAACGACGATATGACGGTTGCAAACATTACCCTGGCCTGGATGGTAACCCAGCTTATGGACACTATACAGTTCAACAAGGGAAATCTGTGGGCAATCACGACTCCTCGGCCTTGGGCCAAGCCGTCTTAGAACGATGATCCAATAGCAGAGTCGGATAGCGAAGCAAGATTGTGCAAAGTTATTGCTACGTCGCGAATCTCTTCAGGATTGTGTATGTATAGCGCATTCCTTCTATTACAGGCCACCGCTAACAAGTCACAGTGAAATCGGACACATCGTGGATGTCATGGATGATGGCCTTGTTCTACCATGAACCCCGAATCCCGGTACCGGAGCAACCTTCATGGCTCGAAGCCGAATGCCGCCGTATCTTTGGAAACGAAAACCAGCGTCCGAGTGATGCGAACCACGTCGTCGAATACCATCACAGCGTATACATTCTGCGCCACTGGGCATTGCCAATAACGCCCAGCTTGCGCCTGCAATCGACCAGGAAGCCGAGAAGTCTAAGAACGACGTCCTCCGCATCGCCGAAGAAATACGATCCACTCGCTTCGGAAAGGTCATGTTCAGGGCTGAGCTGCTGAAACGGTGGGCCAACCACATTTTATGGCCCATGTCAATCTCAGGCAAGCCAAAGATTGGGAGGAAACCATTATCACGGACGATAAACGGTACAAAGAACGAGTCACGGGAGACTTGCTTGAAGAGGCATCGTACGAAGCGGGAATTCCCATCTGCGCCATCCTTTCAGCCTTCTACAAACTCGCCGAGCGAGACGCCGAGGACGACGAAGATAGAGGAGGCTCCATCGACAACATCTATGCAGACGATACGCAGGGCCAAGAGCCCGAGTCCTGGGCTGAGATATGGAAGGAGAAGAAGCCATTCAGCCAGCCTGCAACGCCGGCCGCTATGTTCAGGTTTAAGATTCTCGATGAAGACGAAGCCAGCGCGGCGAGGACGAAGGCGAAGGCGAGCAAGGTGGAGCTCGAGCTCACGACGGAGCGCATCAGGAACCGGAAGCCGGTTTTGGTGTTTACCAGGACGTACCCGCCGTTGATGGGACGGGCGCACGAGATGGCAAAGCCGGTGGAGAAGGTGTCTTTGGCAACGAGGATTTCGAGGGTAGTGAGCCATGCTGAGCTTCCTAATAGAGTGCCGCCGTGCAAGAAGTGTTGTATGATCTGGAAGAAGAAAGATTGAAGACGATGCTTTTCTTCTGTTCTTTTCTTTTTCTTTTTCTTTTTCTTTTTCTTTTTCTTTTTCTTTTTCTTTTTCTTTTTCTTTTTCTTTTTCTTTTTCTTCTTCATCTTCTTCTTTTTTTTCTTCTTCTTCTTTTTCTTCTTCTTCTTTCTTTTTTTTCTTTTTCTTCTTTTTGTAGTACTTGCGGGTTAGTATTTGTACGATTGAAACCGTAGACATTGAATATTAGTAGAATAGGCCTTGAGGCCCAGGTTTCAACCACGCCGAAGGGGGAAGAGGTGGAGAGTATTTCTCGACCTCTCCCTCCGTATACCGTCGCGCATTTCTTCTTCCCTTTTATCTTCAAGGTCCTCTTGGGCTCCTTTATTACCTCGCTTTGCTTGTGAGGATTATCTTGAATCTTTCTATGCTCTGTGTATTTCCTTTTCCTCGTCCTTCTGCGACCATTTCAGCTAGGAGTTGCAATAGATAAGGGTCTGGCGCAATCTGCACGCCCTGACGTTCGTGCGCTCGGGTCCAGTCTGCGATATGTCGCTGCAATCAAGATGATGCTCCTCTAAATAGATCAATATGAATATGAATATGAATATGAATATGAATATGAATATGAATATGAATATGAATATGAATGAGATATGTCGTGTGGATAAATTTTCGTGCCCGCTATGAGTGAATTCTGTAAGTACACTCAAGTGCCGGTATTTACCTAAGCTTAGGATCTCCCCGCTATCTTCTCTCTACTGTATTAGTCAGTGCTGATTCGACACCCCTCGACGGCGTTTGCATCCTCGACCGCTTTACCATTCTGCGGCTTACTATGGCGAGGAAGGGTCAACCTAAAGGCTCGAAACCAGGCGGCGGCGGCAGCGGCGGTGGCTCAGGCAAAAAACCCTCGCCGGCCACAATAACCGGCGACGATAGCTTCATCGTCTTCTCCAACTCCGACAAGGAGCCCAAACCACGGAAACCTCCTCCTGGGACTGCTGGAGCGTCTACGACTGCCATCGCGGGCCAGAATGGACCTGCATTGGCAGGAGAGGCGCCCCAACGGCCAGACGTCAAGAAAATTATCGGAGGGGCATCATGGACTGGCAAACTACCGGTCAATATGCTCTCAGAGCATTGCCAAAAACAAAAGTGGGAGAAGCCCGAATACACAATGGTTGGCAGTCCAGGAGGTCTACGATGGATCAGTGCTGATTCGAGACACAGTCCAAGACACCGGAGGGCTATTCCTCTATGGTCATCTTGAAGTGGAAGAATACCAAAACCCATGAGCTTGTACAGCTTCAGCCTTTCAGACTTCCGCCGACCCACAAACACATCGCTGCGAAGCCCACCGCACTCGAAGCCCGACATTTCGCTGCAACATATGGTCTCTTCCGAGTTTGCAGTATGCGAAATATACACATGATGTTGCCCCCCGACTACCGAGATCTCTGGAAAGGGGAATTCGAGGCGCTAAAGAAAGAGGATGTGAAAGAAGGGCGTGGATGGATGTACGAGGCAGATCCATTTGCAGCCTTGCGAGAGCGGGAAGATGCAAAGATTTTGAACGAGAAGAAGCGTGCCGAACGAGAAAAGGCCAGGGAGAAGATCGCCAACACCCCAGGAGGTCCAGGAGGCTCAAATCTGACTCTGCGAAACTCCGGTGGTGGGAGCGGTGGATCCGCCGCAGGAGCGCACAATATCCATAGAGGTTGGGTACGGGTCCCCAAAATCGAAATGGGAAAGCGGACACGAACGAATGTGGAGAATCTGATTCGAAGATACGCAATATGGAATCCGAACGATGTCAAGATGTCCCAATTCCAGAAACATTCCATCGTCAATGAGTTCAAGGCGCTTGATTTCCGGCAGAGTCACGTTGAGGAGGCGGTGGAGGAGTGTAAAGACCGAGAAGAGACTCTCGAGTGGCTTCTCATCCATGTCCCGGAAGACGACTTGCCCAGATGGGCTCTGCCCGAAGGATACGTGGCTGGAATTAGCATGGGTAGTAGTGATTTAAAGAGAGAGGGTGCCATCAAGCGATTAGCCGAATCTGGGTACGCATTTGATCTCTGCAAGCAGATGTACGACGCAAAGGGGGATGAAGGTATGGCTGCAGAAGCTCTGCAAAACATCCTCATTTCCAGTGGCCAGGACACTGAAGCTCCTCGAGATGAGGAGTCCTGGGATTCGGAAGAGTCCAAAGAATCTTCTGAAGCCATTTGGGAGGAGGAGCTGGTCAGTCTTCAGTCGGTGTTTGGCGACAGGTTCTCTCGCCCGTCGAAAGACGTTTGTCAGGTTAGTATCAGGCCTTCCAATAGGGGTCGCAATCCCATGGTGGAGCCTATGGTCCAGATCAGACGAACCCCAGAGTATCCCCAGAAAGTTCCTGTCATTTCAGTACACGCCGCGCTTCCAGCATACATCCGCTTGAGCATCATGAAGCAAGCCTTAAACAATGCTGTGGATAACTTTATAGGAGAACAAATGTGTTTCTTTCTCCTGGATTGGCTGGAACAGCATCTGTATAGCATCGTCGAAAGACCAGGCAGACTTCGAGAGATTTCTGCAGCTGCTTCTACCGTAAGTGAAGTCCGTCCTATCCATCGCAAACGGCAGAGGATTACAAGACACCCGAGAGCTATCAACTGGACTGCCAACCCGAGAAGTAAAGAGGATTGGGACAAGCGGCAAACCGATCCGAAGCTACAGTCCAGGATACAGCAGAGGAAGACTTTGCCCGCTTGGGAGATGCGAGAAGTCATTATTGACACAGTTAACTCTCACCAAGTCACAATCATATCTGGGGAGACTGGTTCCGGAAAGTCCACACAGTCGGCGCAGTTCGTTTTGGACGATCTATATCAGAACTGTTTGGGAGACTCTGCGAAGATTATGTAAGCCAGGTCTTTTGTTCCGGATACAGACTCAATTAACCTCCTTCAGTTGTACACAGCCACGTCGAATCTCTGCGCTCGGTCTCGCCGATCGTGTCAGCGAGGAGCGAAATTCTCCAGTCGGTCAAGAGGTTGGTTACATCATCCGAGGCGAGTCCAAGACAACCCCGAATACCAAAATCACTTTTGTCACCACAGGTGTATTGCTTAGAAGATTGCAGACATCGGGAGGCAGTAGCGAGGATGTAGTGGCCAGTCTGGCAGACGTTAGCCATGTCATCATCGATGAGGTCCACGAGCGAAGTCTGGATACAGACTTCTTGCTAGTCCTCTTGAGAGACGTCTTGAAAAAGCGGAAAGATTTGAAGCTGATTTTGATGAGCGCAACCTTGGATGCTGGCGTATTTGAAGACTACTTCAAAGCGAATGGCAAGGTTGGCCGAGTCGAGATCAGTGGACGAACCTATCCCGTTGAAGACTACTACCTCGATGATGTGATTCAAATGACTGGCTTCAATGCAGGCCGTGGAGGCAGGAGAGATGATGAGGATGCCGAGACTGCCGGGATGGACTCAGATGTAGCAGCTGCTATCCAAAGCATCGGCATGAGGATCAACTACGATCTAATCACACAGACAGTCAGGGAGATTGACGCGGAGCTTTCACATCTGAAACAAGACGGTGGTATTCTCATCTTCATGCCCGGTGTTGTTGAGATCAGCAGGAGTATTGATGCTTTGCGCTCCATACCGAATCTGCATGTGCTGCCTCTGCATGCTTCTCTACAGTCTGCCGATCAACGTCGCGTATTTCCTCACGCCCCATTTGGGAAGAGGAAGGTCGTGGTTGCAACCAACGTTGCAGAAACTTCAATCACTATCGACGATATCGTTGCAGTGATTGATTCTGGCAGGGTGAAAGAGACAAGCTACGACCCGCAGAACAACATGCGAAAGCTCGAGGAAGTCTGGGCCTCGCGTGCGGCATGCAAGCAACGTCGCGGTCGAGCTGGTCGTGTCCAAGCCGGCAAGTGCTACAAGCTGTACACTCGTAACGCAGAGATGACCAAGATGATGGAGCGGCCTGAGCCCGAGATCCGCCGAGTACCGTTGGAACAACTCTGTCTCTCTGTTCGTGCCATGGGGATCAAGGAGGTTGGCGCATTCCTGGCGAGTGCGTTGACACCACCTGAAAGCATGGCTGTTGATGGTGCGATGGACCTGTTGGGCAGAATGGGGGCTCTGGATGGCGAAGACTTGACGGCGCTTGGTCGACATCTGTCGATGATTCCAGCGGATCTTCGATGCGGAAAGCTCATGGTATATGGGGCCATGTTCGGCTGTCTAGACGCCTGTGTCACTATTGCTGCCATTCTCACGGTCAAGTCTCCTTTCGTATCCCCCCAAGATAAGCGAGAGGAAGCCAAGGCCGCGAGAGCCAAGTTTGCGAGAAATCAAGGCGACTTGATCGGAGATCTCAAAGCATTTGAGCAATGGGATGAGATGGTTAGCAACAGAAGGTATGCACCCCCTTCCTAATCAACAGCTTTTGTTGACACCTCCAGCATACGGCAAGGAGAAATCCGTGGCTGGTGCTCTGACAACTACCTCTCCTACCAAACACTCAACGACATCTCTTCCAACCGGAGTCAATACCTGAGCTCGCTTCGCGAGCTCTCATTTATTCCCAACTCTCCCGCCGCTCTTGCGTCGCTCAACAAGTACTCCTCCAACACCTCTCTCCTGCGCTCACTCTGCGCCGGCGCTTTCAACCCCCAAATAGCTCGAATCGATTTCCCAGACAAGAAATTTGCGGCTTCCGTTTCGGGGGCAGTAGAGCTCGACCCCGAAGCGAAGACGATAAAGTACTTTAATCAAGAAAATGGACGGGTGTTCGTGCATCCCAGCTCGACAATTTTCGATGCACAGGGATTTCCCGGAAACAGTGTCTATATGAGTTATTTCAACAAGATGGCCACGAGCAAGGTTTTTATTCGGGACTTGACCCGTGTGTTCCCCTCCTCTCTTCTTGTCACCTACCCCTGCTTTCGTTCCTCGAATTTCAAAGGGGGTTCCAGACTGACTTCAGTAACAGCATTCAACGCTTACACGGCCCTGCTCTTCTCCGGCCCCATCAATCTCGATACCCTTGGCCGTGGTCTCATCGTCGACGGCTGGTTGCGACTGCGAGGCTGGGCTCGAATCGGGGTCTTGGTCAGCAGACTGAGAGGTATGCTCGACGATGTACTCGCACGTAAGATTGACGAGCCGGAATTGGATCTGGCGGGGAATGAAGTCGTGGAGGCGGTAATGCATCTAGTGGAGCTGGATGGGTTGGATCAATAGCTTTACATGGCTGGCTGGAAATTTGGATTAGCTATGTGAGTTATCATGGTGTTTGTCCTCGTCGGATACACTGGTAGGGCGCATTGGTCAGGTCTTTGGAGAGCGAGCATATACATGGCGCTGGGTTTATCTCTTGCTCCTGCATCAGAAATCGCACATTTCTGCCAACCAATCTTTTCGTTGCATAAGTTGGGCAAGTCTTTATCTCCACAATTAAGGGCATTCTTTGCAGCGCTGTTGGTCGCGTTTATTGTGCAAGTCGGCACTCGCTGTTGGCCTTAATTTTGCTAATGAGGTTGCATGATATTTTCACGCGCAGAATTAGGTCAAAATTGCATACGGATATTTTCATGCTGTTGGCTACAAATCGGCAGGTTCTCGTCAAGCGGGAGAGGCCTGCTTCCTTTCCTTCCCTTCTTTTCCAACCACGACACAATATGATACAATACAACATAACACACCCTACCCAGCACCAATTCTTCCACTTCCCATCCAACCCTCCATCACTCAACCTCACACGGCAAATCATAATGCACAAACTCGCTACTGGCATCGATCTCCAGCTGGGTATCCTCGACGAAGGCGTCAAAGAACAGACACTCGCCGTAGCGGGCGTTGAAGGCGATGCTCATGCACTTGTACCTGCCGGTGGCGAAGTCGCCGTCGTCGGCCACGCACGCGGCGAGGCAGCACTTGAGGGTGGAGCCCGAGGCCTGCTGGATCGTCTCGTTGTAGGAGCCGGGCACGAGGGTGAAGCCCGGGATGGCGCAGAGGGGGTTGCCGTGGGCGTAGGCTGGGGGGTAGGAGGGGGGTGGAGGGTTAGTTTATATGAGTATGAGATGAGATGGGGGAGAGAGGGGGAGAGTAAGAAGGAAGGCCTTACTGTTAGTTGTGGTAGGGAAGCTGGCTGATGCCGAGCTTGTGCCTGTCGGGGATTTCGGGTCGGAGGTGATTGTCAAGACGCGGATGGGTTCTGTATAGGGGTTTTTCGCCGAGTGGGATTTCGTGGTGTGCGATTTCGTGGTGTGCGGTTTGGTGGTGCGTATGGCTAGGACTTGGGATGACAGAGCAGCGGCTGCGCCGAGGCGGATGCAGAGCATGAGGAGATGCATGGTTGGTGAAGCAAGCTGAGCCTGGTTCACGCTTGGAATTTCTTTTCTCGCTGGCCTGGGGTCTTGAGAGTGAAGTGGTTTGATATCGCCGGTTGGTCAATTAAGAAGAGTCCTTTTATCTGGAAAACAGATATGTATGCATCATATGTATATATACGGATAGAATGGTTGTCCTCATCGACGTCGTTACACTTGGCTCGATTTCCAACATGCTCTCCCAGGTACTTACTTACTGATTGACAGTATGCAAGCTTGACATACATTGGGGAGACGGGTGGGTACCTACCTACATTGTTTACGCCGGTGGTGCGAGGCGAGGATATACTGCTCCCGTCATCTCGTGCTAAGGGCACAAGATCTCTCGTCCTCCCCCAGCCGTTCTGAATGAGCTCGGATCGGGAGCGATCGTCAGATCTACCCGCGTGTTTCCGCTAGATGAGAGAAGAGGGTGACAGGATTCGAAGGGGGACGGAATGGGATGATATGGATAGGAGGGGTTCCAGAGGTCATGCGTCGCGAATATGTTTGTTTACAGAGGCTATCGAATCAGCTAAGCGAGCTGATTTCTTCCTGTACCAGTCGGGGCAGTGTTGTATTTGTTGTATTGACTTCAGAACTCGATTCTTTCTATTCCCCATCCCGGGTAACGCTCCTCTCCTTCATCGAGTCATCCTGGTTTCAGAGGATGTCATCTCCGGTATTGATGGTGCACAAGGAACGGTGTTTTCATGAGCAACGTTTAACGGCTGTTGTGGGTACACAAGCAAGGCAGGGCCACAGCACCGCGCGTATATTTCAGCACGGTGCTGATTATAGCACGCCTGTGAAGAACTTTGGGGCACTTTCTTCCGTGCAAGGACTCTAAGTCGAGTCGTTACCACTTTGTGTTCTCCAACACGCACCAACTCTGCAACGTTCCGTGGCTGAGTGAGACACGGGAAGATCTCAAAGGGGGACGACGATGATGGGAGGGTGATGGGTGGGGATGGTCGTGATGGAGTGGTGGAGTGGTGGCGGTGATTTGAAGCTGTTGGGAGTCATGGATCGTTGTTTACAAAGGTATGCTGTTCCTCCGGTTGATCTGATCTGAATGAACGATAGCTGACTGAAGAGAGAAGGATTCCCTTTGGATTTCTCCCTCTAGTGCCTGTCCTGTCCTGTCCGGCCATGGTCCGCACCGAATCCTTACCCGCAAACATCGGCTATCATCCGCTGTATGTACATGCCGTGAGGACAGGCCACCTACTCACCCACTCCACAAGAACACAACGAATACCCACCTACCATCCCTCCCCTACGGAACCAAGAAAGAAAAAAAGAGAACGAAGTTATCAGATGATACGCATATTATTGTCCCGGTCTTTGAGGACGTGCCCGGGTTACGGGGGGAGGAGGACGAAAAGCTCCTTCTTGGGCTGCCCGAGGTGGCGGCTCTGTAATGAAGGAGCTTTGATATAAGGACTGTGTGGGGGGAGAGCTTCGGTCTGCGGATGAAGGTTAAATGTTATGTCTTTTCTTGAAAGAAAGAAGGCCTATTGGAACAGATCTATTAAAAAATACCCGAAAACGATGAAACCACGCCTGTTGATACTCTTCTCTTACATGGTACGGCGATATCTCTTGTAACCCGCCAGGCCAAAGTAAATACTATAGATAGTTGAGTAGCTTTGGCCAAGAACCTTGAAGAGGCCTCGGCTCGCGAAAGCCACCCGTCCCGACCAGATAGGATTTCCTCGGTGTACCAAAATCAATGCAACTGCGAGGGATTTCCTTCAGCTTCTTTACGAAGCTGTGCGAAGGTTTGGAGCCTGGCCGACCGCGACAACGACAGCGACATCGATAGCGATAGCGATACGTCGATTCCTGCTCAACGAAAAGGTCAGCTTGGATCTTCAGGAATGCAGCACGAGTTCAAAGCAAGAGGTTCTCGATACCATCGTCGCAGCTCACTTGCCCACCGCTCTCCCCGATCCGCCGTCCGGAAGCCTCGGAGCAACACCAAAAATCCAGGCGACCATGGCCGAAGTCACTCAGGAGATCCTTTAGGTAGAACAGGTGGTCCTTCGAGGAAGAGAGCAATTCCCAGAGAATGGATGACCGATTACACCCACTTGCCTGGTCGTGTCCCTGAATATGGAGAGGTACGCTCTCCCACGAACATCCCACATCGAGGACCCAGCTCCAACCCTTGAATCCCTCCAGCCCAATCTCAAGACAGCCGATGAGATGCTCATTGCATGGCCTTGAATGAGGAGCGCCTCCAGCAGTATATACAGAATAACCTCTTGTGGAACCCACAACATCCAGCCATTTAGAACGACCCTTCCAAGCCACTATCTCCAACTCCAGCCCACCTTTAACGAAATCAAGGAGCAGTTAAGAGCCACATTTGCTCCAATAGCCCAGTTGGTTGAACGCTGGCTGTCAATTGAGCAATGTCTTGTGAATGCAGTTCAATGTTTTCTAGACCGAGAAACAACCCGGTGCCAGCCCGCCATTGTCAGCTGTCGGGAGCGGGCGATAGACCCATGGGATGGATAGGTGAACAGCTAGCTAGCTAGCTAGCTCAAGAAGCTGCCACTAAGCTGAGCGGATGAAGTCAATAAATTTGAAAGCGTTAAGACAGCGTAGTCATACACAAACAGCGAGTAGTCTCTGACCGTTTTCAGTGCTGTTTTCTTTTAGTTGCCAGCGATCTCCCAGTGCCAGCTAGGGGCTTGGACATTGAAAGAATCATGAATAGACTGGTGGAGAAGTGATAGTTCAAACCCCCTTCTCCTTTCGATTCCCTTAGATTGATTACTTCCTAAGCGCGGAGAGATGGCGGAATACGAGGTCGAGCTGCCACGGCTTTGCACTCGAATGGGAGAGATACAAATCGTTGGCAGGTCTTGGTAATCACCCCCTTGATAATACGTGATAATAGTTTCGCTTATTCGCCCACGTCCGCGAAGCGAAACAAAACATTGCGACTAGAGGATATTCATAGTCACCCAACATCGCCCAGGAAACATGTTACTTCTTTACTGGATACTTCCAACGTTTGGGATTCACTGATTTTGATTCTATCAAGACTTTTGTGAGCGGCTAAGCTTTTCTTCTTCACGAAGCATGCAATGTGCAAGCATCCATCAAGCCGGAACAAACTCTCGGAAAAACTTCTGATATCAGATTCTCACATATGGACGGAATGGACACAGAATCCCGTGGCGATAGCGTCGTCAGATCACAGCGACGCACGCAGCAGCTCGCGAATAACTCGCCACCTGCCTAAAAAGAAGGAGCCGGGAGAACTCGCGATCTTGGCAGCAGGCTTGTCCCAACAACCACCACCGATGCACCGACGGGGGCCAACTATCGAACCTGAAAACGCAAGTTTGTTTGTTGAGCGATAGAGCCTCGGGCACTTATTCCGTGCAGGTGATTGTGATTAGGATCAATGGAGCAGGTATGTTTGTATCCAGTAATTCTAAGGTAGATAGCGAATACTACTCTCCCACCCTTGGCAGATGGATAGTTCGTCCTAGGTGCCAGGTCCATAGATTGTCCCTGTCGAGCCAGTCAACTGATTTCCTATCATCATGATGGATCTGCGCACATCTTGTCAGCTTTCAACACCAGCCTCCAAGAGGAAGTTCGCAGGAGAGGTGTCTGTCTCGGGAGAAACGATGTTGATGACTTGGTGCAGGCGGCCACTTGGGACCTGCAGTACTGATATCAAGATCGGGTGAGTGCGAGCGTGTGAGAGCTGTATCTGTTCATTCTGGATGTATAAATGGAGCATGGGTTCCAGAAGAAAAAGAAGAAGAAGAAGAAGAAGAAGAAGAAATGAACCCATCCCACCACCCTCGGACCCCTCGTTAATTTGACCATCAAGCATCGATTCGGTAGCTCAGAATGCGTTTCGTTCTTCTTCAAACTGCGGTGACGGCTCTGCTCGCAAACCACGTCCTCGGTCATCCCCACGCATCTTCATCTTCCCCTCAGGCTCGAAAGATCCAGAAAAGGACCGTTGATCTTTCTGCCTATAGATTGGGAGTAGGAGCAAGCTACACCAGCAATTCTGTGATCACGGACGGGGAGCAAGATACTGATTTCCAAGCGTTCACAGAGCCAGGCTATGTCGAGACGGCCACCGCCCTCGTCAAGTCTGTGTTTCCGCTCGCCGAGTTTCGCCAACTATCAAGCTATCAATCCGGCAATGGGGTCGGGCACGTGGTGTTCAAGCAGATGATACACGGTATCGACATCGACACTGCTGATCTCAATGTCAACGTGAGTGGCGGGAATTCAGAATACGATTGCGTGGTAAAGTTAGAAAACACTGACCGAGTTATCATCAGACTGGCACAGACGGCTCGGTCTTGTCTTACGGCAGCTCCTTCTACACCGGACCAACGCCTCCGGAAAGCCCGCTGGTCAGACGAGATCAGGTTGACCCCGTCGCGGCGCTGCGAGGCGCCTCCGAGACGCTGCGACTGTCGGTCTCCTCAGAGGGGGCAGTAGCAGAAGCGGAACCAGCAGAAGTGGAACAGTACACCATTACGGGGTCTGCGGGTGCGCTGTCCGACCCGAGAGCGAAGCTCGTCTACGTCCACACGGGCGACTCTCTGACGCTCTCGTGGAGCGTAGAGACGGATATTGGCGACAACTGGTTGTTGTCCTATGTCGATGCGGTCACGCCGGAGAACGTGATCGCCGTCGTGGACTACGTGGCCGAAGCCTCGTATACCGTCTAGTACATCTCTCCTCCCACCTCTAAAGCCCACCAATGCACCCACAGCTGACGATGTAAAAGCCCATGGAAGACCAACGACCCGAGTCGTGGTGGCCGAGTGGTCGAGACCGATCCTTGGGATCTCAAGGCTTCCGAATTCACGTGGCATGGGAACGGCGAGAAGATCTTCAAGACGACCCGCGGCAACAATGGCAACGCGCAAGCGAACTTTGAAGGCGACGATGCGTTCGTGAATGATTTTCGCCCGTACGAGGACGACTTGAACTTCAACTACGAGCTGGATCTCAATGCCACGGATCCCAAGACCTATGCCAATGCATCAGTTGCGCAACTCTTCTACACCGCGAACATGTACCATGACCTGTTGTACGTGCTAGGTTTCAATGAGGTAGCCGGCAATTTCGAGATGAATGTTGATAGCCAGGGAGGTCGTGGTGGAGATGCAGTCACCCTGAATGCTCAAGACGGGAGCGGCATGAACAATGCAAACTTCGCGACTCCCATTGATGGGCTCGTCCCCAGAATGAGGATGTAGTAAGTAGTCTCCGAGCGCCCACTCCCTCCTCCTGGCAGTTTGTTACGGGAGCTTCAGGCCTTCTCGCCAATCCGTCGCTACCGCGAGAAAGGGCCGAGATATGCTGCGATGTTCTTCCCGTGCATTACTGACTTCTATCGTTCTCAAGCATCTGGAACTACACCCTGCCCCTCCGCGACTGCAGCTTCGACGCAAGTGTGGTGATCCACGAGTACACCCACGGTCTCTCCAACCGACTGACGGGAGGCCCTTTGAACTCGGGCTGCTTGTCCACCACCGAAGCGGGCGGCATGGGAGAAGGATGGGGTGATTTCATGGCGATCGCCATCAACCTCAAGACCTCGGACACGAGAGCTACCAGCTACCCGATGGGAGACTGGGTACGAGCAAGGCCCTCAGGCATTCGGACCTATCTCTACTCGACGAGCCTGACCACCAATCCCATGGTCTACTCGACTGCCAACAACTCCACGCTCGTGCACTTCATCGGAACCATCTGGGCCAATATGCTCTACGAGGTGACGTGGAACCTCATCGATGAGTACGGTATCACGGATGCGAGACAGCCGACTGTTGTCGATGGCGTGCCTACCGACGGGCGGTTCTTGGCAATGCAGCTGGTGGTCGACGGCATGAAGCTGTGAGGACCCCCTCCCTCGTGCCTTTCATTCAATCTCCTCGCACAACACTGACCGAGTCCACAGACAACCCTGCAGACCGAACTTCATCCAGGCTCGCGACGCGATTCTCGACGCCGACAAGGCCCGCACCGGTGGCAAGAACCAATGCAGCATCTGGAGAGCGTTCGCGAAGCGCGGGCTGGGTGCCGATGCCAGACGGTCTGCCAACCCCTTCGATCACCTGTCCCGAGTCGACAGCTACAATCTGCCGGATGGTGTCTGTGGGTGCAGCGCTGACAACTGCCTCCGCGCGCTTCGCTCCACCACGCCGGACGGACGGCTACGGGAGTCTCAGGAGTTCTGTGGTAATTTTACCAAGACGGTTGTGACGGATATCAGTGCTCTGAAGCCGTATTTGGCGAGTCCTTGCCATGGCAGCGCTGTGGCCAGAGTCAGCTCGGCTTGTGGATGTATCCCTACCTTGGGCTAGATAGAAGAAGGAAGGGTATGAATAGCTAGCTGTTCGGAAATAAGTCCATGATTCTATGATTGTGAGACTCTTGAAAAATTGAAAGCAATGACAATGGTTGTAAAAGGCAAAGACGAGCACATGTTTTTGAAGTCAAAAAGAGAGGGCATGGGATGCAATAAAAGTCAACCGATTATATTTTTCTGCAATACTACCTAAGCAACGTAAGGGAAAATTTTCAAGTGAAGGGTTCCGCTCCCGCATTATTGAAATATGAATGCCGGCGAGGATGCAGAGTTCGAAAGTCGGCCAAAACATATCAGGTAAACTCAAAAGGCGTCATGTAGCCTGGGGAACGCGAAAATGCCGGGCCTCTTCATGAAGAGTCGGTCAGATCGATGGAAGCCTCATGTTTGATGGGAGTTCTAGTTCTCTGTTTCTTTGGTAGCCGGTTAGACCTGGAGGGGTGACCTTCGTCGCTCTGCCGCTCACGCTTGATTGCAGCAACAACCTGCTTGCTTGCTGGAGCCACCCGAGGGCCAGAGTTGATCATCGTTTGCATGATATCCAAGACGTTTTGAAGCAGAGGAACCATATTCTCTCGGGTGGGCAAGCGCAGTGCACCTTGCATGATGTTGGAAAGTGTTTCGAGGGTGCCAATCATGAGCTTGCGTTCATTTCGGATTTGCGCGAGTTCAGCCTGAAGAGAATTGTGGGATGTCTTCAGTCCTTGAATCTCGGTGTGCAGTGCAGGGGTGATCTCGGTGTCTTGCTTCACTTCCTGGGCCTGGTTTTGAAGATCGGTAGGATTTCCATCGACTGGGTGGGCCTCTGGCTGTGCCCGGGATTGTTGACTTTCAGGCTCACTATTCTGGACCTCAGTGGGTAGCTTATCTCCCCGGAGTAGCTCAATCTCCGCGTGGAGATTCTGAATCTTGGTCGTGAGTTCTGCAGTTTCCGTCTTGCTATCTGCTTCGTTTTCGTAGAGCTGCTGGTTCTCGCCCCTCAAGTCTTCAACAAGGCTCAAAAGACGCTGAACCTCAGCCTCACTCTCTGCTTTGGCTTGACGAAGCTCCATCTCTTTATTTTCAAGAGTCTCTAAGGCCAATACAAGCTCTTGTTCCTTCGATTGGAGGTGTTGGCTTGTGGAATTTAACTCTCGCTTCTGGGTCTGTAGAGTAGTGCTCAGCTCCTTCACATGAGTCTTCAGCTTCTCAACCTCCAGATCGAGCGGCTTGATGATATCTTGAACCCCTGCCTCAGGTATGATCTTGGTTTCAACTTGACCTGTCTGAGCATCTCCGGTGTGGTTCGAGGTAATATCAAAACCAATTCCTTCATCAAAATAGCGGTGGGCAAACTCTACTGCATTGATTCCTGAAAGATTGATGTGTCCGTCTGCAGGAGCCTTTATTGGGATATGAGCAGGATTCACTTCACTCTTGAGATCCGCAACGTCTTTCGCGGTGGGGAGAATTGCTACGGGTGGCACGCCATAAAAGGCCTGGTCGATGTACCGGGAAACCATAGGGAAGTATTCTTCGTTGCTGTCGAGTCCTGGAAATACGACACCATTTCCTTTCTGCGAGACGATTGCAAAAGGGCACCCACATAATGCAACTCCTCGGCGGTCGCGGAAGTCCATATTGTCAATCGTAGCACCCTCTATTCTCCCGCTTTAGTAAATCAAAAGCAGAATTTTTTTCCAGATCTTGCTTACCAGTTTGAAAAATTAGATCAAATTGTTTATCCGAGCAAATGCTTCTTTTATGCAGGGTTGCCTTGTACATCATATCCAGACCATGAAGTCTCGAAATCATGTTGCTTTCAAGATCAGTCCAAGAGACCATCAGCTCTCCGGTGGACTTGCCAGGAACAAGTTCCACGATGCGCGGCATCTGTCGGAGGTTTACATCAAGCTTCTGTCGCAGCGAGATATTAGATTCGAACGACTTCTGCAGCAGCGGCTGGCCACCTTTCTTTAGATCATGAAGAATCGTTTCATATAAACCAACGATAATGTGATCGCAGGGAAAATCTGGAGGGTTGATAGCACATTCCCACAAATAGCAAGATATCGTCCGATGACTAGCAGCGAAGTCCAAGTAGGTGTCGGAAATAAGAAGATCATTCTCATCGAGAAGTAGTTCAACACCAGACTTGGAAGCTTGCTTGAAGATCACCTTCAGATCCTTGGTTCTCTCGTCCAATGCCAATGCCGCGCTCAAAGCTCTCTTGACACCGGCGGAATATGGGGTCTCTTCTACACTGGAGCCGGGGGCATTATGCAATAAATCATGGCGATATTCTTCCGGGGTCCGAACAATGTGATATTTCCGTAAAGTATCCCAGACACAGGTAGGAAGTGAAATCGGCTCCTTTGGCAAATGCTTCTTGATCGCATGAAAATCCTGCAGATGTCTCATAAGCACATTACGGACAGTATATCAGGCATCCCATACCTTGTTATCTTGCTTTCGGTAGAAGAAAACATCCCGTTGGGGATATAATGTGAGGAGGTGTGTCCATATTTGGGCTGCAACAGGTTTGGTGATGAAGTCTTTGGCGAAGTTAACATCGGCCCAATGCTTCTCATCGTCTTCGAGAAGCATTTTGGTGTATTCCTTGAGCGCTTCTTGATTTCCTTCCCGAATTACATGGCCCCACATTCTTGCAAAAGAAGTTGCTTCTTCCGAGCTGTTTGTGAGTATCTGCCTATCCCGATTGATCTGTCCAGAAGACAAATTGTAACCAAACTTGAGCACCTTCGAGCTTGCCGATCCTCCGATGTAAAGTCCTTTCAGGTAAAGGCGGCCACCAAATGGTTTGTCTAGGACGAGGTCTCCATCAGGAGTCTTGAACTGTCTTGTCGGAGGGCAAAGTACGAAAGAGACTTTGATCCACTCCATAAATGTCGCATTATCTATGGCGAGCCCCTTCTTACTATAGACTTTGCCGATCTTGACGCAAACGTCCTCCCAGATGTTTGAAATGAGACCTCGTGGCTTCTTTTCGTAAAATTGCTTGGTATTTGCGAGCATGCGTTTGGTGAGTTGGGAGTCTTTCATAGGTGAGATATGACAATACAAGTGACTTTTATCTTTGCCGCCAAGTCCAAAGTTCCAATAGGCTTTAGAAGATTCATAACGGACCTGGTAGCCTTTCCGAACTAGCACTAATGAAGCAACTTTGAATCCTTCGCCGTGAGTGCCAGCGAGGTTATTTTTGGTTCGTTTGGAACTCACACCGAGGTCAAGTGCTTTCCGTTGTAGTCTTGCTCCGAAGTTTGAAAGCTCTAGGGTGCCCTTCTTTTCCAGGAAACGAATGAATCCTATCATTTTCTCAGATCCTGGCGGATGAGCAGTTGCGACCCACTCATCATCCCCTTTTTTAAAGACAATTTTTATTGAGCCTTGATCCAGTCCTTGAGCTTCGATCATTCCGTCCATCCTGGATGCGTCAATTAGGAAGCTCCCAAGCCGAACTTCGAGAATGCTCACCAGTTTTGGAACAATTCTCGGAAGGCATCTCGTCCAGTCCAAGTTGGCACATAGTTTCGTGTGAGGCCGAGAGCCTGTCTACTCTTTTTGATAGTGTCTCGATCCTCATAGGCCTCGTTCCGGGTATCGAACTCAGGCTCTGCTTCTGAGTCATCGTAATCCATCTTGAGGTGAGTGGAGGTACTGGTTACTGATATCGATGCAGAAGGTGATGGTATGGTCTACCGAAGAGGTGTTTTGATCAGCGTAGTACTTCTGAAGGAAGCAGAGATCGAGAGATGGCTGAGATGGCTGAACTATCAATTAAAATGAAGAAAGAGCAGCGAGAGATTGAGTCGGCGTGGTTTGCATTAGGGTGATGATTGGTATGTTATAGGAGTTGTATGAAAGAGGAAAAGAAAGATGTTTATAGACGAGACGCGGACTAGCCTCGTCAGTGATTGGACAGTGACACAGCAATCAGGTCAGGCCATGAATGAAGGTGAGCTTCGTGCTAAAATTCTCACACGATGGCCTCTCCGAAGATTTTTCGATTGTTTGGCCATTCCTAGTCGTTCATTAATGAGCAAATCATTTTCTGACCTGAAGGAATCTCACATTTTTGGACCATAGCCCATCCACTATTACCCCGCTGTCACCATTTCCAGATTTTGCTCAATGGGTACTCTCAGTTGGGTATTACTCTCAAATCCTTTTCAATTCTCGTCAATATTGCCCGTTCACTGAATCGTAGCAAGTTTCCTACCTTCCTTCAAAGGCCTGTGGACTTTCTCCTATACCAGATCCCTCTTATGACATCGACAAGCTCACTCCTCACTATGAGCCAATGCCACAAGTCTCGCCTTCTCCCATCCATCTTCAATCTCCTGCGTCGAAGTACTAGCAAGCTCACATGTAACTTCTTTTCTTCCAAAGGTCCTCTCGGTGAAATATTAGTATATCGGGACCTGTTTATGGGCATCCCTCAACCGTCGCAAATCATAAATACCTTCCAAGCCAACCAAACCAGCTGGAGGGAGATTCCCATTCTGAAACGTGCTCTGAAATTACAGAGGAGCCCCACGACTTTTTACTAGCAGGATATAATTGTCCTTAGCGGCGTCGTCCAAGTCAGGAAAATGCCTTACATTTCTGCCCAGATTTTTGGCTCTATGAACCTTGTGAGCTGAAGCAGCAGAGAGGCAGTTGAAAGCCGATAGCTGGTTGAAACGAGACTGGCGATATACGGAGTGAGAGTGGGGGCGGATAGAAGTTCCGGGCCATGAGTGAAAACGTAGAGGCAGCGATCATAGGGGCCGTTACGCTCCTCCGTATATGTATTTATGATGGAGTCCGTATCCCCAAGGTGTGAACTTTAAGCTTCGCTGATTCGGAGACGCATTGATGCCTTTGATGCTTCGGAATAATTTGTCATTTTTGGGAGTGCAGATCAAAGGCCAGGTTACAATCGAGCAAGATGGATTGAGGTTGAGAAATAGGGTGCCCTAAGCTAAGCGAGGCGGCTATTTTTAATCGGGCTCTTGTTCAAGCAGCCTATCTCTACGTATACCGCCGAAGCACAGCACCTAAATACAAGAACAGGTAGTATTAAGATTTTCGAGAAGCCTGTAGATATTATATCTTGATGGTATAATGACAACCACGGCTTGGTCCGAGCGAACTGAACATCGATAACGTTGCTCGTCGTCGCCCACCTTGGCGCGGATATACACATAAAGACTCGATCTGCATTTCTGAAGCGACTAGCCAATCTGGATTTCAGGGTCAATTAAATTTATTTTCGGGATATTGAGCTACTCTGTGTGCCCTTCCGCCTCGGTATACTTTTTCTCGACGCGTATTACGGCAGCGAGAAGAAGATAAAGCAATCCGATGGACTTATAGAGATCAACCGGGCCGGCGGTAAAGGGGGAAAAAAGCTATGGCTGCTTACAAATGCATTACTCAAGTGGTAAGTCAATTCACACACTGTTGAGTCGCGGGTGTTGGCAGAGGTGACTAGTGGATTGGGTAGGCATGAATTATCAGACTGATACGATAGAACCTGTTCTTGGACTTGAGTAAAGCAGACAATGAATAATTATTAAAGTGAAGATTTGATCGCTAAATTTAAGGTCTGAGAACATATTCACCTGCTTGACATAAGCCAACTCCATAACATCCATCACCTGGCGGGCTGCAGCTCGCAGATATCTCTGTCTATACAACAGAGTTCAAGGACAGAAATTTGGATTACCCTCATCTAGAATGGATCCTTCTTGAAAGCTTCCTCGGCCTCTTTGTAAGCATCATATCCGTACAGCCACGACTGCACCCGGGGACACGTCCACCTGCTCGGGAAATCCGCCTTCACCTCTCCACCAAGCATCCCCAGCATCAACGCATCCCTCTCTTCCTGCTCCTCCCCGTCCGCCAGGTGGAAATCGCGTCGCTGCTTGAACGTCTCGCTCCTAATGCCCTCCCCCCTCTCCTTCCGCAAATCCTGATACATCTTGGCGGCCCGAACCAATTGCTCTGCCCTTCCCTCTCCATCGTCAGCATTGACCTGCCCCAGCAAATAGCCCACCACCGCGCCATCCTCCAACGACGAGTTCGCGCCTTGGGCCAGGTACGGCAGCATGGGATGGCAGCAGTCGCCCATCATCAGGAACGTGCCCTGTTCGTTAGCCCACTCCGGGAGCGTGTCGAGCCACAGCAACTTCCACTTCGCCACGGCCGGCACCTGATCCAGGAACTTCGTCAGGATGGGGTCCCAGCCCTCGAACAGCCTCTTCATCTCGGTGATTTCGCCCTCGGCTTTGCTGACTCCGGCCGGGAGGGTATCCGGGCACAGGAGAACGAGGTTGTACAGGTCCCCGCCGCGCACCGTGTAGGCGACGACGTGCGTGTTGGGACCGACCCAGAAATTGACGGTGGCGGCCCGGATGAAGTTCCGGAGCTCGGGCGCGTCCGGGCCAGTGAGGTCGTTGGCGTGGATTAAAATCCTGTAGGCGAGATCACCTGTCAGGATGGGCGGGCTGGGCCGGCCCAGGAACTGCGAGCGAGTGGCGGACCACAGGCCTTCGGCGCAGAGGATGACGTGGCCGTCGACGATCTCGCCGTCGTGGAGCTTGACTTCCACCATGTCGAAGTCGACGGATGTGACTCGGGCGTCGAGGCGGATCTCGATGCCGAGTTCGTTGCAGCGGTGGGCCATAGCCCGCTGGAGGTCAACACGGTGCAGGCCCCAGAACGGAGCGCCGTATTTGCGGCTGATGGATTGCTGAAAGTCTTGTTCCCGGGCAAGCAGTCTGGTACCGTCGTAGCGGTGGACTGAGAGCGTGTTTGGGAACGTGGCCTTCGGCACGAGAGTCTCGTATATCCCCCAGCGTTTGAAATTGCGGGTTCCGTTGGGTGTGAGTTGCAGGCCGGCCTGAGAGTTTGTCATTTCAAAAGGGGGACCAGGAATGGAAAATCAGGAGGCATACTTACGCCAACTTCGGCCAGCTCTTTCACAGACTCGAGGATTGTGACTGTGTGGTTCGGGTTGGCAAGCTTGGTTGAAATGGCAGCCGAGAGGCCAGCCAGACCAGCGCCTATCACGATGAGGTGGATGGAGCCTGACATTATTCCCTGGCTTCAAGGAGTCGGCTACCCAGCCCAAGTCCTTGTTTTGATAGAATTGATCTCGACTCGATGCCCCGAGTGGGTCCTTTCAAGTGTTGTGAGCGCTCTTTGCTCTGTATGTTCTCGCACAGTTCTTAGGAGGGGGATAGTCGTAAGGAGTCTCAGGCACACTTAAGTACCTAGTCGACTTGGACATAAGTAGAAGGTTGGAGACAGACGTTAGGCTAAGCGAGAAAGAAGAATATAAATATCATATGAATATCGGTATATCAGTGTTGTTTCCAGTTCGTATATATATTATATCATATAACGCAAAACGTCCGATTCAGCGGGGATGGGCATAGCGGGGCTCTCATCCACAAGAAGTGGGATACGTATAAGCAGGTGGACACGGGTAACTGCATCGTACATGAGAGTGCAGATTATCAACCTGGTAGCTCGTGAACAATCGGCTAAGAGTAAGAGAATAAGTAGACTTGACAAATGGTCCATCGCGCTTGCAACGAAACTTTCTTCATACCCATTTTCAAATTCGTTCATTGAATTTATCGTGCAGATCAGGCCAATATCGAGTCCAATTTACCCCGTATTTTTACCCCGTATGTACGCAGGCGCTCCACGAACGCCAGCCAAGCTATACAACTCTTTTTTTTGACGCCCTCCAAATGCATAACATGTCCATTCCCACCGGATCCACATATTCGCATCAAACCAGGTTCTCCATGTCCGGGGTGACCACAAATTTGCCCATAATTTGCCCCATGCTCATTGCCCGACCTTCAGGTGCTCCACCGCCTACTGGTCCTTTCTCAAGGCCATCGACAACAATGCCGGTCGTCAAAAACCCAGCGTCGACTCCACGTCCGACAAGCAAGTTGACACCTCCCCAAGACAGTTCGACTTTACCGCTCTGGCGTACAACTAGCTTGCCGATCCAGCCTTCCTCGTGGACGTATGGTGTACGCTTCCCCTTGCTCCTTTTTTCCTCTTCCATCTTGGCTTTGTCGATTGAAATGGTTTCTTCTTCCATCTTAATAGCAACAGACTCTCCGGTGAGATCGGCGCGGTCCCTGGCTTTGGCTTTACTCTTTGCAGATGTTCCGGTGCCTGAAACCTCGACGTCACCATTTCCATCCGCGCTCAAGTCGTGCATCTTCTTTGGGTCAATCGGTTTGCCTTTGACAGGATCGTACAGCTCCGGCAAGATGGGTGGGAATTGGAAAAGGTATAGTCTGCCGGATCGCTTGTCTTCTGGCTTCGGGGCAGCTTCCTCCATCAGGACATCCTCCTGACCATCGGTCCCCTTGCTTTTGTCTGTAAGATTCCCTTGCAGGCCGCCAAGCTCACTGGCGAGAATGGCAACGTCCTCGAGATGACGCTCATACTCCGCTTTGTCTTCTTCGGTCTGGATGACTTGCTTGTGAGCCCGCTTCTTCTTGGGTTGTGCCTTCTTTTCTCCTAATACTCCAGTCATAGCAGCATCGTCGTCCATTTTCAACTCCGGCTTGACCTTGCGTTTTGATTCTGGGGACAGGGGCTCGACGGTGCTGGTTGAATCAGGGGAGATGTGACGGAAAGTCGCAGCCAAGCCAGGTTCTGTCTTGATGCTAATCTCGTCTCTAGGGTCACCCATCCTAGTGTCCGCGGGTCCTGGCCTCGAGGAGGATCGTGTCTCGTCGACCTCGACGCCGTCTTCGTCATCCTCTATCTTGATAACCGGTCCCGTATTGACAATTGTTACTCGTGCCTTGTGCTCGTGACGATCCAGACGGACAGGCCTCAGACCGGTCTTTCTGATTGACTTCGTACCAATGTACTGGATTTCGTCGTCTTCGTCTTCGGGAACGAGATTTATCATCGCAATATCAACTCGGGGGGCGTCTCCGTCCTCGCCCGGGTAGTGAGGTTCAGGGACATAGTCTTTGTTGAATCCGCCCATTCTCCCTCCTCCTCCACCTCCACCTCCTCCGCCACCTGTATATCCACCTGATCGTGAAGGTCCCGATTCCGTCTTGATACCGGACACACCACTTCCACCTCCCCCTCCACCCCCTCCAAGTCTCGTGAATCCGGTAGAAGAATTCTCTAAAGAAATGTCAGCTCTTCACTTCCACACCTGACCACATATACGCACTTATAGACTCTGGGAGAGCTCCAAACAGCCCCGAGCCCCCGCCTCCCCGACTAGATCTCCCCATAGCATCTCCTCGTCCGCGCGCCGGTCTCCCCCTGCCCCTCAGAGCCCTAGCTTCCTCTCTCGCCTTCGTAGCCGCAATTCCAGCCAATCTTGCCTCTTCTTTCCTCGCAAGCTCTGCCAGCTTCGTCGCATCGGCTCTGTTAGCTTTCGGCTTGAACTTGCTCGGGGCCTTTGCGCCACCTCTTGCGCCTCCTCTACCACCTCTGGTCGACGGACCCGCCTTACTGGCAGAAGAAGCATCGGACGCAGGTTGTGAGGTCGCAGCTCCTGAAGAAGCCCCAGGACCTGAGTGCGCGGGTGTCGGAGCTGGAGTTTCCGTAGGAATGGTCGCTGGTGAGGAGTTGGGGGAAAATGAGTTATCGCCGGTTTCGCTGAGCTGGGGAGTCGAGACCGCTGGCGCTGGAGCTTCTGAGGCCGGGGCTGTTTCAGATTGGCTTGCTGGGGCATCTGCCATCTGGACATCTGGTGCCGGGGAGTCTGCTGCTGCTGGATCTGAAGCTGTAGCTTTTCCTCTCCCTCGGCCTCTGCCTCGTCCAGCACCGCCGCGCACAGCTTTTGGAGGCATTTTGGTGCTTCGATGGAGTCCGAGAAGTTGTAATATTACCGCATTAAGATATCGAAAGTGTTCCCTATGTAAAGGTATTTGGCAAGAGGCGAGATGAAATGTAAAATTTGGGTTGACTCTTTCGCTGGTGGGGGACAACTTTTTTTGATCTCAGCCTTCTCCCGCCGGGAAATCGGCAAAACAGTTATTCCGGTCAACTTCGAGTATTTCTTGGCGATGCGAATTAAAAGCCTTGCAATCAATAAAATACGATGCTTAAAATTTGGTTTCCGTCCTTTCGACTGCCTGGGTGAAGTTAACGCTGCACTGTGAGGACGGATGTCGCTTTTACTTACGCCCAATCCAGGCTAGTCGTAGACTATTTAAGTAAGTTGACATAAATGGCAAGCAGCTTACGTAATCCCAAAACGAGCTTGAAGTTAGGTATACCTAATTAGCTAGCTGCCTTTTGTCTCAATCCCACGACTCTTCCTCCCAGAACAACAACACTACCTTCCTGAATTAATTGGAAGCGGTAGTAGTAAGATGGCGGTCGCAAATTTGGGCATCGTGAGTAGAGAGAAACGGAGTGGTTAACCTTTCCCCGGTTGGCTCATACGTAAAACGTAAACGCTGAACACTTACCTAGCTACATAGGCCACAGGCCACAAGCCAGGACCGGATCAGGTCTATATCTACCTACACTTGACATTTCTGGTCAGTTTTCAGAGCCTGCTAGGTTTATCATTAGGGCCTGCCGTTTACGTACCGGACATTCTCAGCCGTCGACTTGTAAACCATTAGCCGTAAAAGGCCACGCTGGAGACAACCACGCATCACTCTGACTCCTCACTCATTCGCCTAGGATGTTAGAGACATCAGTACACCGTGAAATGATTGGTTGAATGCGCAGGTAGTAGTAGTATGGTGTAGGGGCGCGCTCTTGATTAGTTTGAAAAGGTCACGTTTCGTCTTCTTGTTTACATTCCTCGCTTGAGTGTCCTCGCTTAAACCAAAACAACCAAAGTACGATTACGAAAAAAACAAAAAAGTAGCAAAAATCTTCCAGAAGCTCGCACTTGCGAGGTTCTGGAATACAAACGTGATTGAACCCGTTTTCCGAATATTCAGAATCCCCTTGGTCGCACGAAAGCGAAAACCCAGATATTCGAGATCGGAGCAGGCAGACGATGAACCACTAGGCCAGCTAGACGGAAATTCTGAATATGTTTAGGAATAATGTCCGTGGGTTTTATATACCCCCAATTTTTTTTGGGCGGCCATCGGGTCTCGGACAGAGCATTGGACTATTGGTCGGATATGGAGATATTTTCAGAGGAAAGCAAGTCTATGAATAGCTGCTGGTTGTGGTCTGGCAGGAGTGAGTCGTGTCTGCTTCATATACGAACGCACCTGGATGCGATCTCTGGGATGATTTAATCATCTCCTCTTTGCTTACCCCAAAATCATCTGGTCAATCACCTATCCTAACAAGTGAATGCCAGGATCCAGCAAGTTTCCCATTTCTCGATAGCCCACAGTCGCTCTACATCGTTGCCCGCTACTGGAAAAGAGATCGGCCATCTGCGAAAATAAGATTGATCTCTTTTCAAGCAGTCTAATTTCAGAAACAAGCCCCAGTTTAAGACTGCAGGGAGTTAGTTGTTGTTTCTCATACCAACGAGCAGCTGGCCTCGGTTTGGGCTCCAGAACCGCCCAGTCGACCCATCATCAGTGATCATCGCCAGTCCCGGATCCTATAATCCCAAACCAAATACTCTTGCAAGATGGGATTTCCCGATAGCGATGTATTGCTCGCCGAATCCATCCACGGCTTCCTGGATTAAACATTGTGATAAAGTCGATCAGGTCCCTGCGTTGCGAACAACGCCTGTCAATCAAGCGTCACTACGAGAAGCTTTCGTCCGGAAACCTCACTCAGATAATCAGACGTGAAGTAGGAAACATGGCCTACGTCGCTACGACTTGTCTTGTAAGAGGACTTCCGGCTGAGCCATCACGAGAGCAGATATCGAGATTCGAGGCAAGTCGCTCTTGTCACGATGGTGAGTACGGGCCTTGCCACGGTCCGACAACCTATCATCAGTATGGATGAACATTGTGAAGAATCTCGGGCTGGTTTTCAAAAGCACGGATTTAGTCCTGGACGAGTATAGGCCCTTTCGCGGAAGTCTCTCTACAAGGGTAGTGATGGTGTCGGCTAGGCGTACCTTCGCTACGATCCAGGTCTGGATCGAACATGCCGTGAACTGAGGTATTCAAAAAGAAGTCGAACTAGTCATGATACTTTAGCAGAGGTCATTGAGAAGCTCTGGTAGGGGCCGCCGCTCTGTTCCGACGTTCTCTTGATCGAAGTGATCAGAAATTTATCAAAGTGGGGATCAAGTGGCCCAACTGAGCAAGCTAGATTTGAACTCTAGAGACGGCCAGCATTGCGTATAATCCTCGCAGAGACTTTGTACAAGAGAGTGTGTAGGACTCTTACACGGCACGGAAAGAAAGCATAGCAGATCTGCGAACTGATCCAGAGATAGAGATCGATATACCTACTCATGCTGAAGGCAATCCCAATACCAGCTCCAAGAGAGCAGATGAATCCTCCGCGCACGTAAGTTGCAAAAGGCAACGACGCTACACAAGTAAGCAGCACAACCAGCGTCCCTAGCAAAGATACGCTACTCTGGAACCTGTGTGAAGAGCAGACTATGGCTCGTATGCATAATTCAAGCGGTAGTGCTAAAATAAGTAGACGGACCCTTTCGGACGGCCCGCCCTCTCAGCGGCAGGCTTCGAAGCGCCATAGCTACCCAACAGATAAGAAGATCTCCAAGGCCATGAATATCCCGTACCGACCCACGCAAGAAAGGAGGAAGTGAAAGAACACAAAACAGGCCCTTCCGCACTTTTTATATGAAACGGAATAGCTCACCTCACCTCACCTCGTCTCATCCAGCCATGGATGCATCCATCCATCCATCCATCCATCCATCCATCCACCGACGAAAATTCATCCACCCATCACCCACCCTCAAAGTAAAAGAAAGGTAAAAACATCTCACCTACATATATACATACATACATACATGCATTATACATACATACCAATGTCCAAACCCCCCATAACCCAGTCAAGTCACCCATTACCCATTACCCACTACCCAACACCTACCCACCCCCAACCCCACACCAAGACCCAGACACACCCACCACGACGCAAAGACCCATTCTTAAAAAAAAAAGAAAGAAAAAAAAAAGAGAGGATTAAGGATGAAGAGGCAGATAACACAACCAACCAACCAACCAACCAACCAAAAACCAAACCAATCCATCCCATCTCCCCCTATCCATCCAAATCTATCCAATCCCGCCACCTCTTTCACTAGCTAGCCCAACCTACCTACCTACCTACCTACCTACCTACCTACTGTACCTACCCACTCACCCATTCACCCACTCACCCACTCACCCAACCGATAACCTAGAGAGATTGGGAGCGAGACAGCAGGGAGGGAGGAAGGAGAGAGAGGGGGTAAGAGAGAGAGAGAGAGAGAGAGAGTCACACAAAGAAAGAAAGAAACATACTGCAAAAAAATAAAATAAAAGGCCAGATTGATCGAAGTTGGTCCTCTCGAATTTACTGGCGTGCAATACTAGGGTAGAGTCGAAAGCAAAGGCTTACCTACCTACCTACCTACCTACCTACCTATCTACCTACTTATCCATCACCCGTGACCCGCCATCTGTATTGGAGACTATTATAAACCTGCTGTCCTGGAGTGTATGATTCTTCTATGGTGTCTCTTTTCTATTACCCGCAACATAATATCTTTGTTTCTTTACGCAAACGCCCATTCATCTTCATCTGTTGTTCATCACCTGCCCTTTGCCCCCTCTCCCCCCCCCCCCTAACCATTCATCAACTCGCCTCGCCGCAACCTCTTCACGCGCGTGCCCCTCCACCACCCCCTCCAACAATCTTCGGTAAGCTCTGCCACGCCTCCTTCCCCGGGACCCTCCTCTTCCCAAACTCCCCGTCCAGGTCAAGGATGATCTTCAGCGCGTTCCTGCTCCGCAGATAACTCAGCGGGCCGTCTTGCCCAGGCAGACCGTGCGAAGAAGCGCCGACGCCCATGTGCGGCGCGTCCTTCTCCTCACCCGGCAAGGGGAGCAGGCCCTGCAGGACCTCGTAGCCCGCGAGCGTGAATGCGAATTGTGGACTCGAACGCAGGATGCGCGCCGGGCCGCCCTTGAAGAAGGCTTTGAAGCCCTCCTCTTTGAAGATCGTGGTGGCGCACTGGCGGAGGGAGGTGTAGGAGCTCTCGCCCTTGCGAGCCTCGACCTGCAGACGGGTTTTGATCACGTCGCAGGGCGTGGTCAGGTACGCAGCCGGCATACCTGCAATAGCGCCTGCAGTGAGCAGCTGCAGGATCCCCAGCGACTTGGTTTGTGATTCTCCGAAGTAGTCGCGCTTCAGATGGTTGTAGGTGGGGAAGTAGATGGCGGAGAAGGGGACGTCGCGGAGGAGACAGGCCGAGGCGCCTTTGTAGAGGCCGACCAGACCCAGGTTACGGACGATCCACATAGCGGAGCGGCGAGGGGCGCCGTCGACATTCTTGGCTACTTCTCCTTGCACCTGCAGGCGGATTTTGACAATTTCAAGGGGGTTGGTGAAGATCTGAGGAGTGTTAGTGAGAATGGGGGGTAAGAGGAGGGCAAAACGTACGACTTGGCAGGCTCCTGCAGTTCCTCCGGCCAGGATTTCGTGAGGAAGGCGAATGGACCCATCTTGGCCGGAGAGTTGTGCTCGGACGAGATCGTTGACGGTCAATTTGATGGCCTTTTCGGGGGCGACACCTACAAGTTGGGGCAAGACACCTGAATACAGGCCCTTGAACCCCTCGTTCTGGATAACTTTCCTCGCGCAGTCCAGAGAGTTCTTGTACAGCATCGCACCCACACGCGACGATCGCTGGTTCTGCATTCTCGTCTTGACCAAATCGATGGGGTAGACCATGAATGCGCCAAACGCACCCGCCAGAGAACCCAGCGCAAAGTGATGCACGGATTCCAAGACGCGGCGGAAGAAGGTCTCACTTGAGGTTTTGGCTTTCGCAGCACCAGCTCTTCCAGCTTCGGAGAATGCATTGCGCCACGAAGCATCAAGCACCTTTGCGAAATCCGAGAGGCCGAGTCGTCCGGATGGCTCGTCGAGACTGGCAAAGTGGAACAGAATATCAGCTTCCATGGGCGTAAAGAGAGAGAATCGAGTGACGCGCGCAGCTTCGTTGAGGAACTCAGTGCGAGTAATCTTCCCATCAGCACTTTGCGCCGTGGCCTGTCTGATAATCATCTCCACCAGATCCATCTCGCGAATCATATTCTGGAACGCACGAACGTTGGCGTATGAGATCTTGCTGCCAGTAGAGATATTACACAGCGTATGTAAGTTCTCCAGAAGATGATCCGAGAGCTTGTGTCTCGCCGTCTGCAAGATGATGCGCTGGAACTCCTCTGGCTCGATATATCCATCTCCATCCTTGTCAAAATAGTGGAAGGCCTGTCGTATCCGCTCTCCCTGCAGCCCTCTCAGCATCTGCGAGAACTGGGGATAGGTCAGGTCGTGTCGGCGCTTCTTCCCCCCGCTGTACAGATTCGCCCACTCGCAGTTCCAATCGAATGGTATACTCTCCGGGCCCTTGTTCATCTCGTACAGCTTCTTCAGGTCATCGTATTTGACGGTACCAGTCTGCTCGACATCGAACAAGCGGAAGGCAATCTCGTACTCGGCGTCTGGTTTCGCGAGGAGGTTCTCGAACGTGCCCCAGTCGAAGAGGTTGACCTTGCCCGTGTTTCTCCGATCTGCAACCTTGAAGAGAATCGCATATTGTTCACGTTTGATCTTGTGCTAAATCCACCCGAGTCTCGTCAGTCAATTGCTTCTCTAACCTGGATCTGACAGGGCACGGGATAGGACAGGGCCCGAGATTCAGTAACTCACGTAGTCCTCCGTGTCGGGCGCAACGGCATTGATGAACTCTTCCTCGCCCATGAAGAGCTCCCCACTATCCTCATCCTTCCGCGCGTTCTTGTCAAAGGTCGCCTTGGACAGGGCGGATAGCTGCACGTCTTCTTCCACCACCTCGGTGCCAACAAGAGCCTCCTTCACTACCTCCTTCGCCTTTGTGAGGTCCGCCATCCTGTCCGTGATCCCCAGAGCCCTAGCACGTCAATCCTGATCAATTGCTGGCCGGGAGTAGCCGGAAGTAACCAAACGTGTGGTTGTCGGCGGTCGATCTGGTGTAGTTGGGTGTTTATGAGGCCTCGTCGGGAAAAATGGGGTTCTCGTAATGGGGGTACGGGGGGGGGAGAGGTGGAAAAGCAGGGGTGGAGCTTCGCGGGTGGAGCTTTGCGGGATGCGCCAATTGATCGCCGACGCAGTGAGCTGCTGAAAGAGTTGCACGCTCTAGACGGGGATGGAAAGAAAGAAGATCTGCTGGAGAATCTCAAAAGACCGTTTGGCTTGGCTTGGGTAGCTGTAGCTTCTGGCGAGTTGGCGTCTCCTGAGCTCTGCTGGCCTCGGGATGAGGTAGATACAGATTCGGACTTACCGTAGCTCGGGCAGGATTTAGCCTGTAAAGGGCATGCTGGATTAATGATAGACCGCTCCGAAGTTCTCAAGCACTGAGGGCTGGGCTATGGGCTGGGAAGATCGAGGGGCCGGGGGAAAGAAAAAATAAAATTCGAATGGTGCGCTGGGTGCATACCAGTTGCGAAGCCTTTTCCGTAGCTACCAAGTATCATCTTCCACTGTGGGAAGAGAGCGAAGGCTTGCTGCCCAGTTCGCTCATGGATGATCAATTGCAGGATTGCGACTAGGGCCGAGGTCACACATATCACATTCATCACATGCATCACCACCAAGTTTTGAGAGAAGTACCATTAGCCTCTAGTCTATTACCCGGGATGCCACCCGGTCTTGGAAACGCCACGGAACACCGGCCGATCTTCCAGGAAGTTCACAGAGATGCAAGTACATGCCTATCCTCCTCCAACGCCTTGCCTCCCAAACCTGCACAATAGCAAGAAAGCCGAAGAAATTCATGGGGATCGTCTTATCGTGAGGCATCGTTACGCGCGCAAAGCAAGATGATGTCGGTGGCCGTCGGTCCGGTCCGGTCTCGAAGTTGAAATCCGGGGAGGGCGCCATGCGAAAATCGAAAGTGTGTAAGAAGAGGAATCAATTATGGCCCGCGTGCTTCTCCGAAACGGAAACGCGACGCTATGTCTTGAAGTCAAAATATGCCCGTTAGAAAGCATATGCCGATGATCAACGACGTGGTCCATATTGATCCCAATAAAATACAGGAAAGAAATATTTTGTCGTCCAGGGAACGCAGACATCAGTTCTTGGAGCCGTGGAACGTGGTTTTTCCGTCCGATGGGAGGATGGATTGACGCACAGCAACCGCAGGGACACGGAAGCCTCGGATCAGCTCGGACTGGACGAAGTGAGAAGCACGCTTGTATCGACGATCCGAGTACTTCTCGAAAACGGCAGCGTGATGCTTCAATGGGGACTCACAGCACTCGACGATGAGCACAACGAGAGGGCGAAGTTGAGACCAGGTGTAGCCAGCGTAGTAGACATGAGCTGGGGACTAGATTCAGTTAGTAGCTGCTGGGTAGATCAAGGGGGAGGTCACTTACCCAGTCACCCTTCTTGAGCATGAAGCGGGCAAGGGAGTGGGCACCGGCAGCGACATAGCTGGGTGGGGAGCTCACGAATCGCTCGTCCATGATGGTGATCTCGAGGAAGTACTTGGCCAGGGTGCGGGTCTCCAAGTCGTAGTCATCAGCCTTGCTGATTCGGCGGAGGAAGCTCATGGGTCCAGGCCATCCCAGCTCGAACTGAAGCATGCTGAGCATGAATCGCTCGGCCTTGAGAATCTCATCAACGCTGTATCCTCCGTCGACCATGTAGACGATCTCATTGATGGATGGGCAGTTGATCTCCTCGTACTTGGCAGCAACGAAGATAGCAGTAGCACCAACCAACTGCAGCTTACCCAAGGAGACGATCTTGCAGGAGAGGAAGCGATCGATGTAGTTGACACAGAGGAAGAGAGTCTCAGGAAGCAGGGAGAAGCGGTGGTGCACCTGAATCAGCCAGTCCATGAGGACCGAGCGCATAGACCATTGAATCTCGGTTTGGTTGTCCATGTAGTTGGCATCGGGCAACATCTTGGACTAGAAGAACATGATGGGTCAGCCTATGTTGGGCAAAGGGAAAACATGGCTGAGCCAGCATGTAAACATGGACCGTATCAGCGGCCGGACATGGGCTGCGTGATCGGCCAGAAAGCGCATTGTTGATTGGAAAACAAGGGATGTGTGGGGAGAGAACGCTTACCTCAAGATCACGCATGTAACCAAAGATCTCCTCGCCGTACTCAGCCACCATGCTGGTATCCCAGGCCTCATCCTCCACCTCTTCGATGGTTCGGGCACTCTCAACAACCAGCTTCGCAGCAGCCAACTCCTTCTTGACGGCGGCGGTAATCGTGGGCGCAAAGAGAGTGGTGACACCAGTGGTCTCGCCTCGGGAGACGTAGGAGTAAGCAGTAGTGTAACCATCATACTCCTCCTCAATGATAGCATATTCCTCCTCGTTGATAGCGTCATCACCGTATTGAGAGAGATCGGGGGAAGAGAGTTGAGTAGCCTCGGGGAGGGTTGTCTGGTCTTGGTAGTCACCACGGTTTTGATCGACATCAACAGCATCTCCCAACTCTTGTGCCTCGGTGTAAGATTGACACTTCTCGGCCAGCTCACCAGCTTGTTGCTCTGCAGCATCCTCGTAGGCAGGGCCACCTCCAAGCGTATCCTCGGATGGATCGTGGTGGGCATTCACGTACTTGCTCTCGTCATGGCCGAGACCAGGGTGAGTTTGCGACAAAAGACCTTGGACTTGGGGAGCCAGGCCTGAGTGCTCGGCAACGGGTGCGGGAAGGGTATTGGTGACTGAAGCGCCCTCGACATCCGGGTCCTTGTAGATAGCTGTGAGCTTCTTCGAGGGGACAAGCTTCAATGGGAGGACGGGCTTGGTCGCAAGGGGGATCGTAGGAGGCTCAGAGGTAAGGTCGAGTGGGACACTGCAGGCAGCATTGGTCGCAGGAAGTTGGACTGCATGGAGGATGGCTGAGGTCTTGTCTTGTTGCAGAGCTGGCTTAACGATCTCGACATTCTGCTTCTGCGCAGCGCCAACATCCGGGAATCCAGATTTAGCCTTGTTAGTATTGCTGATATCGCCTCCGAAAGCTCTCTTGGCTGGGGCCTTGATACCGGCGGGAGCTGCAGGCTGCATGATTTTGAGCGATTTAGTCTTGTTATGGGTGGTCTTTCGCACGGGAGCCAGGGTATTAGTCTCGTTTTCGGGACCGACGATTTGTGGGCCACGAAGGGTTGGCTGTGAAAAGGATATACATTAGTTATGTGATTGTGGAGGGGTGGAAGGGGGAGAGGGTGATTCAGGACGAGATTGAGGTGAAAGAATAGAAAGGAAATGGATGGCGCAAAAGGGCGATCGGCGGTGGTGCCGGGGTGAGAAAACAAGAACAATGCAGGAAACGCAAGAAGATACGTACGTGCTGCTCCATGATGAGCTATGCTAGGATTACAATAGCCAATGCTGGGTAGCTATGGCGATCTGGGTATAGGGCGACGACGATGCAAAGATGCTTAATGCAAGAATCGTGTCGGCGCGTCCCCAAAAACCATAAAAGGGTCAGGTATCGGAGGGAGAGGATGAAGAGAGGGTGAAGAAGAGGGAAGAAGAGTGAAGAGAAGATATCAAAGATTAGGCTGCGGAAGGTCACCAAGGTCACCTCAATCTCAAGAGCTGAGATGAGATGAGATGGAGTTGTCGTGCGTTCCGGTTGTTGTTGTTATCGAGGTGGTGGTAGGAGGTTGAGGTCGAGAGGTTGTGTGGAAGAAGGAAGGATGGGGGGGGGAGGAAGTCGACGTCAGCTTTAAGTAGCTCGAACGTGTCGGCGACGGTGAAGGTGAAGTCGAAGGTAGAGGTTGGAGGTGAAAGTGAAGGTGAATCTCATCGCGACCGCCGAGCAACCATAAAACCATAACAGACCGGAGCGGAAAAACTCTAAAATCGGCATCACCCACCGTAACCAGAGGAACGGCGGAACCTGGGTGGGTCGAGCTAGTCCCAGGTCGAGCTTAGTTGGGCCTAGGGTAAACATCCGTGCGGAACGCCAAGCATCTCTGCGCGTCTTCTACAACACGCTGCAACAACTTGACATTTTAGATATCTCGCCTTAAGAGCTTTAAATGCCTATTAGATCATGTAAATTGATGATCATACACTCTGAGAAGGTATGCGAACAGTTCTATCCCGCTGAATATGCTTTGCGATCACTTTGGGAGCTATAATCCTGAATGTTGCCCTTTGGTAGCAGAAACAAGATTTCGCGTCGCTTTCCATCGCCAGATCACGTGAGACTTTTCCCCCCATCTTCCTTCTTCCTTTCGATCTTCTTAGCTACATTCCGACGTGACCTCTGCATTCATTGCTGAGACTTTTCCGAGCTTTCTGTTCGCTTTGTTTCTTTTACTTGACTGCGCCGGGCCGCTATGCGCTGGTATGCGGGAGGGGACAGCATCGGTCGCTATAGGGAGGCTTGAGGATCTAGTTATGCCTGGTCAGGATACCTCAGTATCTAGGTATATATGTATATACACATATATCCCTTTCCATTTATCTTTACCAATGGCCACCTCTATTTCCAAACAAAGGGGTTTCCCTCTCCTTCGACTCCTATCCCTCTCTCTACCGGTATGCTACCAAGATACAAATACCCATCCATCTTTCCCGTGAGCGAGGGAGGGAGTGATTGATTGGCCCTCGCGATTCACGGCTGTTCCTGTTTACAGTTTGTATTAGTGCGATCTTCTAACCGACCGACCGACCGACTGACCGACTGACCGACTGACCGACCGACCGACCGGACCCTCTGCGCCGACCCAGAGACTATAGGTACATCTTCTCCTTACCTATCATCCTACTTCTCCGCAAGTTTGGAATATCTTTGCTGATGGCCTGCCCATCGTTGGTGGTCGAGGTCCTATCGGCTCAGATAAGGGTCGCGGCCCGTGGCCTGGGCCTGTCGGAATGTGCCAAAGCAGCAATTCGAGCCTTCAGGATGTCGCCACTTCGGACTCCATCCTGCGATCGCAATCCTCTCTCCCCCGTACTCCGTCCCCCCAAACCCTATCTCCTTCCTAGCACGTTCAGAGGCCTCCTCCGCAGCGGTTTCTGCCGTTGTCGACCACACCAGCGCCCGCGCCCGCGCCCGCGCCAGCACCAGCACCAGCACCAGCGCCAGCACCAGCACTACTGCAGGCCGATCTACCCATCTACCTACCTAGCCATCTATCCACTCATGAGCGCACGAATGAAGCCAACACGATGATACAGATACGCAGGCCGCAGCTGATTGAGTTGCCTGCTGCCCTTCTGCCCTTTCCCACACATCCGTAGGCACATATCACCTGAAACCTCCGGTCGGGTGAGCCAGCACAGCGTCACCAGAATGCTTGGGCGCACCTGATACTGGTAGCTCCTGATCTCGAGCAGCAACTCACCGATACTGGATACTGGAAACTGGATACTAGATGCTGGATACTGGATACTGGATGCTGGATGCTGGATGCTGGATGCTGGATGCTGGATGCTGGATGCTGGATGCTGGATGCTGGATGCTGGATACTGGAGTGCCGGTAGATCCACGCCGGCGCCTGATAGGACCACACAGCACACACCACACACCACACACCACACACCACACACCACACACCACACACCACCACCCTTCCCACCTCTCCCCTCCTGGGCGCGGGCGGATCGCAGGCATTCGAGACGGATAAGCTCACAGGGTGCACTGCCCTGCACTGCACTGTACTGTACTGTACTGTACTGTACAGCGCTGCACTCACTGATCTAGATTGATGCACTTGTTCCCTCCCCCTTCCCAGACCCAGACGTCCACGGTTCCCAGCCAGCACTGAAATCGAGGGTTTCTTCGTTACTGACCTCGGTACTGACCTTGCTACTGTACTGACTGACCTTGCTACTGACCTCGTTGCTGCCCTCGTTCCTGCCCTCGTTCCTGCCCTCGTTCCTGCCCTCGTTCCTGACCTCGTTACACCGGTGGGCCGCCCTCATCCTCGTCCCTCCAGTAGATCCCTGCAAGATGTTGGCATATGTCATCGGCCAACACCATTGGACAAGACCGTCTTTCCATCGAGCCCTGGGCCTCTGCACTGCACAACACAACACTGCATCTCCAGTTGTCGTTGTAGGAGCCGGTCGTGTCGCGACAGTTGTCGACCGTCGATGGCAAGTGCCGTCGCCTCTTGCACCAGACTCTGTACCTGCACCTCGAGACGCTGGCTGTGCTTCCGTCCTTGCCTAAAGAACGGCCTGACGGCCTGACGGCCTGACGGCCTGACGTCGCCGACGGGACGCTTCCGAAGACGGCATGCACGGCAGACTCGATCAGCGAGGCTTTTTCGTGCGAATTGTCTCAATACACTTGACGGCCATTATCAGCCGAGAAAACATGCCTCCACAGGTTCAGAGGAAGATTGACCACATCGCAAACTGTTGGAGTCCATGTAAATCGTAAACCGCTCATCCGGATATTTATATCTATATATATCGATGTACATGGACCTCGGGGACTTGCCCTTTGCAGTTTCATGGACTGCACTTCAGACATGAAAAGACGTGAATAGCAGACTTGCCCATCTGGAGATCGATCGCTTTTCTGTTTGGGTCTGATCCAATAAAACAAAATAATCATCATCACATTCGTGGGGAAAAGGGCCTAGTGAATTGTAGGGGATGTTAAGCAAGTACTTATGCTCCCAAATGCGTGTGTGCATTAAAAGCCACCGCCTGGCCGACACCTCCATGTCCTACATCTCCCTCTCCTCCTCCGCTTCTCCTCTCCTCATCACAACCACAGCACCGAGAGGAGGAACGCTGCACTAACACAACAACAGGTATGCTTGCTAATCATCTGCGCTCTCTTTTGCCATCGCTCCACCGCAGCTAGGAATCCGATTTCCCCCCCCAAATCCCATCTGCTAACATCGCATCGCTGTCGCAGGTCTTCCGAGACGTCAATTGGAACGAACTCCCAACTTCAAATGCCTAGATAGGTCGCCCAACGCCATCTGTTCCGACCAGCTGTAAGTGGCCCTCAGTCTTCAGTTCTATGCGATCAAGTAAATACTCCATCTCAAATCCCATCTACCCCCACTGGTCTGCGGGTCCTCTGCTCCTCTGCTCCTGGTCAGCCCGAACCGCCAGCGGACGCAGACCCAGTCGACCTTCACTCTCACGTCCTTCCATCAAATCACTCTCTACTCACATCCTCGAGCATCGAATCAGCCATACTGACATTGATTCGTACCCAGTTCGAGAATCCCATCTACATTCGTTCTGCCAACTCGGCCGCCTGCTTTTGCGACAACCGGCTCCATCGGTCACCCCAAAAACTTCCATCTGCAGTCCATAACCATTGTTTGATACCCGCTCTCCTCGCTCGTCCCAGAAAGATACTACCTGTGCAATCTCCTGTCTGGCCCAGATTCCTCAAACGCACAAATTCATCTTCACAGCGCCACTGTTCCTCCCCTCCTCCCCCCTCCCCCCCTTCCAACCGCTCCTCTCCCACCCGGAACACAATGGCAGGCATGGACAGTCGCAATGGGGAGCAGAGAATGGTGACACCACCCGCTGTTTACGGGCCTTCTAAATCCAACTCTGCCACTCCCCACAACAACGGAATGTCGCCTTTTGGAAGCCCGACACCCAAGAGTGTCGCATTCGAACTCCTGTTTCCCGAATCACCCCAGTACCGTGCGCGACTGCCCATGAGGGTGCAGATATTCCCTCACGATACTACCGACTCCATCGTGACAACCGTCAAGAACTTCTACGGCCTCTACGCTGGCCCTGGCGGGGCCAAAGGGGTCAGTTTCGAGGATGAGCAAGGAAACACCCTAATCGCCCGATACGAGAACCTTCGAAACAACATGGTCGTCTACGTGCGAGTGATTGAGGAGCCTGCACCAGCGGCGGGAGCATACGGCCTGCCACCATACCATTCTGCCTCGCCCGTTCTACAGCAGTCGTACTATCCTGGCGATGGTCACCACATGCCTCCCCCGCAACCAGCCCAGGCACTCAGCTACGGCCAGCCCCTTTCCAGACCGACGTCGAGAACTTCTCGCAAGCGTAGCATCTCTCCCGATGCGCGTGGTCGTCGCAGTGCGTCTGTCAGCACAAATCCGCTGCCCCCAAAGAAGAGCCGGTCGCGATCGGGCTTTAAGAGCAGGGGATCGAGCGCACACGGCGGCTTCCCAGACAACCACAGTGATGGCTTGACGGGATATAGTAGCGGCGACGGAGCGGCAGGCTCGGTGTCTAGCAAGACCAGGAGCGAGCACCTTGGAAATACCGAAATTAGTTTGGACAACATTGTTGAGGGCGGGCGACGCAAGAGAGCGAAGTTTGAGAGTTCAGTAAGTCGCAACCCACGGTCCGGGCCTTGTCGATACCACTTCTGAGACGGCGTATTAATGTCCTTGTTCTTTCAGGAGTTGCCATTGTTTGCTCCGCCGCAGATGCCGGCTGCGACTTCGAACTCCTCCGTTTCACCCGCTCGTCGCATGGAACATCAGCGAGCAGCATTTCCCTTCACGCATCCTTCACAACACCCATTTGGAAACCCGCAGCCTCTACAATCCCCTCAGAGTTATAACAGTGGATTTGGGCAGCCAGGCATGTACACTACACCGGCTCCTGGGCGTCGCACTAGGGCGACTGGATATCCGCCAAACCGACAATCTCTAGGCAGTACACCTGGCGGCAACAGCTCAGGCATCCTTCCAACACCAGACCCAACTGTTGGAAGTTGCGTTTCGGAAGAGGACAAGGATGTAGCACTTCAATTGATGAGGCTGGGTGAGATGTCAAACATCTCTCATGGTCGCACTTCTGCTTCGACCTTGGACGACACCTTTAGTGGGAAGGCGGACGCCGCATCCTCTACCGGTGCCACCAGTGATAGTGAGAGTGAAAGTGAGCCTGAGCCTGAGCCTGGGCCTGAGCCTGAGCTTCCTCCGCCTCGCCGAATGAAGCGTGAGGCAAGCCCAATCCTTCCTCCTGGTCACGTCAAGAGGTTTCGCCAGCATCTGGATGATGTCCTGCCGAGTCAAGACAGCACTGAGCCCAGCGGTGACGAAGGAGAATACGAAGATGGGCGTGATGAGACGTTCCGACCGGTCATCAAGGGTGAGCCTATGGAGACGGACGATAAGCTCAAGCTTTCCAAGTCCAAGGGCGTCGCTGTCATGGGCAAGCCCCGTACCAGCGCCTCCGGAGTCAAGGTCAAGTCGAAGCCCAAGACATCGCGCCCGGTCCAGGTCAAGTCCAAGAAGCCGGCCAGTGCTCCAAGCAGCGTCAAACCCATCTCTCCCACCTCATTGCCACCCCAGTCTCGCAAGACGTCGAACGCTTCCGCCCTGAACTTTCAGCACCAACTCGGCGAGGACGAAGAGGACCTTTCGTCCAAGCCTCGTTGCCAGCGATGTCGCAAGAGCAAGAAGGGCTGCGACCGTCAACGCCCTTGCCAGCGCTGCAAAGACGCCGGCCTCAGCGCGGACCAATGCGTCAGCGAGGACGAGGGCAATGGTCGCAAGGGCCGCTACGGACGACACATGGGCGTACCAGTGAAGAAAGAGGAGCTGCCCGTGGATGCAGCATCGCTCCCGCAGGCAGCGGCAGCGGGCGGTCAAGTGAGCGCAGATAAGAGCAAGAAGAGAAAGCGGTAGTGGTGTGCAGGGTCGGTCCCATTGCTCAGCGCCGCTGTCCGACCCGACAGCTCTGCCATGGTGCATCACCGCCTCCCTCTCGTCACCTTCCATCTCGCGCCTCTCGGCGAGCTGGGCTGGCGCGCACAAGTGCTTGTTGAACGAACGGGTCTGCTCCGCTCTTTTTTGCTCCTGCATCGATCGTCGCGTGTGGAATCGGTACGGCGCGGGCCTCTTTAATTGAGCCAGGTCATCTAGCACTGCGCTCTTCTTCTGTTTCTGTTTTCATTCCGTTCCGTTGCGCTCTTTCTCCTTTCCGTTGTAACTTGGCCTACGGGGTTTGGTGGCGGGAAACTCGGGCCCACTTTGGGAACCATAGACAAGGGCTCGGTCACCTTACACTCCTTTACGATTGATGGACGAACATATTTTACGATTTTCCTTGTGTGGTTGTCATTCTGTGTATGCAAGGTCCCTTGTTCTGTTATCTATTCTCGCCTTTTCTCTCTTCTCTGGGGGGCTGCTAGCTAGTCGATCCATATTTCTCTTCGGCCTCGCTGTGGATGGATGTGGGGCGGTCAGTGCGTTGTGCATCTTGCGCTGTTGGTGGATCTACCGTCTACGTAGCAGCAGTGCGTGCGGGTTGACTCTGTCGGGTTTGGGCTGGCTGGTCTGGTTGGACCGGT